CTCACGTCATGTCAGACTCCCAGAAGTCAGTACTAGCAGCCCAAGATGAATTGCAATCATGGTTATCTGCCGATGTGCCTGAAACTTATGAGTATGGCAAGCCATTCTTGCCAACATATCTTATGAACAATCTACCCTGGGAAATGAGGGCAATGCACGAATGGTATATCAAGGCATATAGGAAGGGTCTCGGTTTCATAAGCATCGCCGTCCCGGAAGGTGCTTTCATGAGTTGAGTGGTCCTAATGGGATATTTTTTTTATCTCTTTCCGAGACCTTTACGCCCTCTACAAGCTAGATAAAATGGACGTTAATCTCGTTGCGGCATTCTGTCTGTAAGTCTGAACTCTTTATTACATGTTACACGTATCATTCCAAACAAAGAAACCAAATCTCATTACTTCTTTGTTCATTATACAGTATGCAATTCATGAAGCTGATAGAACTGGATCACCGGTTGGATACATCGATCCAACAAGAATATGCAAAAGACAACACACCGTAGAGCTGAGAGAGGACTACGAGCAAATTGGTTGGCAAGACCCCTCAAGAAAAGGAAGAATATGTGAAGCAATTGCACAACAGGAAGAAGCTAGAAGTAGCAACATACTTAGCAATAGCAATGTTGGCGCACGCCGACAAAGATGTCTTAATGGTCCCCTACGCGTTGACGTAAGCTTTATCTTCTTTTTGTTTAATTAATTTATCTTCTTCGGAATTTTCTGTCTCCAATAAGCCTATCTTATATGCAGAGACCACTACATATTATTCCTTGTATATCCAAAAAACCAATTGATCATATCGTTGGACCCCACACAATATGAAAAGGAGACCTTTATGGAATTCCTCACTATTTTGAATTTGTAAGTGATAAACATTTCATTAATATAAATTGTTTAGGTCGATCCCTAGTCTTCTTGCTACTGATAAAATAATTGTTTTCTTCAAATAGAGCACACAAGTACTACCGCAAAAGAGGCGGACCCAGTACATATTCCATCCCAGAAGCAGTTACCCATCATGACTGGCTGGCCGGTACTATCAAATCTATACCAATAGAACTAATTATCGAACAATACATACTAATTTATATCTACTGAGATCAGTCCCTCATAATTATATCGCAGCGTTACAAACAACCACCAGGAACCAACTTGTGCGGTTATTACGTGTGCGCGATGCTCAGAGTAAACGGGAGGTACAAAACAACCAGTAACCAAGTAAGTTAGCGAACTCTTCTCTACAAAGAAACCCATCTAGCACACGCTTCTCACTGAGTACCATTCTATTTTCCTTTCTGTGCGCAGATCCCCGAAATCCCATATATTGCACAACAAATCAACAACGGTACTACCTGGAACGTGGGCGCTGACCTCTGCCGATTCCTCCGTCGTGATGTCTGCAACGCAAGAGGTCTCTTCTACGACAACAAGAATGAACTCGCAATGAACGACAAATTTAAACCTCTCAGAGAGTGGGAGAAAGAACATATGCAATGACATGTACACTACTTATACATATGATGAAAAAACTGTGACACTTGTATTATATATTTCGTATGTAAATTACGATTGAATTTATGGTTATGTATCATAAACTGTAATAACAACAACCCGACTATCTCGTATGCTTACTATTCCGAAATACGATAATAAATCCTCAATAATTTAATATTAATTACCAGACACATCTCACCAAAAGGCTAGAATAAATATTATTTTAGCTATTCGGAAATTGAACTTCGCATGCGGTCTACTTAAGACGGCCGCATGCGAAAATAGATCTTTGCATGCGGTCTTGTTAAGTCGATCGCATGGGAAAATAGATCTTCGCATGTGGCTGCTTAAATGGGCCGCTTCGCATGCGGCCGTCTTAGGTGACCGCATGCGAAGATCGATCTTCGCATGCGGCTGGACGCAAATGATGATCTTTGCAGACCATTTCGCGCATGCGGGCCGGCCGACCACATACGAAGATCATGTTCTTCTGTATGCAAAAACCCATTCTGTAGTAGATGATAGGTGATGTCGCAAAAGTGATGGACTGATGGCGTCCCCAACTACGCATGATGGACGCGATTGTGGGGCCGGAGCCTGATGAATCGCCCTCGACGGGATGAATTGGCAGAATCACATAAGTGAGAGCGTCCTCGTCTATGCGTGATGCACAAGATTGTGGCGCCATGCATCAACATGAGGATGTTTGGCCGGACGGGGTTTGGGTTGTTCACGACACGTCCTGATGCCTGAAGGCACGGTGCGGTTCCGCAGCTTCCCATCTTGCTCCTTCACAGCGAACGGTTAGATTTATTTCGATACCGTCTGGTACCAGTACCACGAGGAGAAACGCTAGGGTCTTCTAGCTAACTCCACTAGATGGTGGGTTAGCCTGCCTAGCTAGTTCGAAGCGGCACTCCTTTTAATTATTTGATATTAGATCATTTTTTAATATTTGTGTTTTTACAAGTACCGCGAGGTACAACCTCATGGACAGGAACAACGCTTTTTTGCAACATATATTTTATACGAAATCTATGCTTTCTGTAAAGTTAAAGCACACTAAATCTAAAGCTTAATATACAACCATGCCACATCATCACCCACTAGCAATAATTATATATTTAATCTCATACAAGCATACAAATGATCTACAATTTATTTAATTATACAAATCAAAATACAAGCATCCAACCATCATCCGTCTCCGTCATACATTTGCACAATATTTCAACAAATCTATCTATTACTTTTACAATATTTAACATATACTTATCAATATGTTTCACACTAAAGCACGAGTATTATTTGACTGATAAACCCTAATGTTTTGTTTTTTTTCTTCGTAATCCTAGTTTGATTGTAAAAAAAACATATTGAGAATTTCTTAGTAAATTTTACAACAAAGCACGGGAAAGCGTGAGGAATCACCTAGTTATACTATAGTTATACTAGTTTCATTGTTTGTCGAACCACAGTGAAGAAGAATCTATTGATTAATAGCACCGGGCTTGAAATCGGTGCATTTATACGCACTCATGTGACTGCTGCAAGCCTGCAACGGACAATAATTAAAATGAATGAAAAAAACGAACGGTACGGAGTTTACTTACTGTTACTGGATTATAACAAGCTGGTCTGACATTGCGCTTATTCTTCTCCGTATCGTCATTGACTTTGTCTACAACTAGTTATTGTACTTGCATCCTATAACCACTTACTCCGGAGCAAGATTATTGCAACAAGTACTTGTCAGGCCCAACTTGCCTTTGTAATGTCCAGAATCTTGATAAATTTATTCCGTATATATAGCGCCCCTACGCCGGCCGGCCCGGCGACTGTATATTAATATACAGTCAGTCAATGGTTTCACCAATACATACTGACGTTTCCCAAGGAAAAGAAGGCTGACGAAACGGAGGGTAAAAGGGTCCCAAGCGTGCCCACAGCGACAGGAAACTAAAGCGAAACGGAAAGTAAAAGGGTCCGAGACGGCCAAAACGACATATTTACAAACGGAAAATAATTTGTGAATAAAACTTTTATATACATGTTCTTAGCGATGTAAAAGCAAATGTTAAAAATAAACTTTGATAAAAGAACCCCAAAATCAACTTTAAATTTAAAATTAAAAATTTAAATTTTAGCTAATAAGTATAAGCGAAAAGATGAGACCATATACCGTAGCGCATCTATTCATCTAAGCCGTTTGGGGCAACCGGACTCACTATTTGGTTTTTATTCGTGTAGCTGATCCTTCCGTCCCAAAATACAAGAAATTTTTAGTACTCCCTCCGTCCTAAAATATAAGAGATTTTGGAAAGACGTGACAGATTTTGGAGAGACGTGACACTTTCTAGAACCATGAATCTAAAATATGTCACAAATCTTCAAAATCCTTATATTATAGGATGGATGGAGTATATTCCATCAGCAGTACATACACATACCGCACATGATTCGAACGAATTATAACTCCTACGGTGCAATAATATATTGTAATGGTTGTATATAGTGTTAGTATATAGTAGGGTGTGAAAAACCGCCGGTAACCGCGCGGTTACCGCGGTTACCGCCCGTACCGCGGGGGTACGGTTACCCGTACCGCACGGTACGGTTTAATAAAATTCGTCCAAATTCAAAAATTTAAAAAAAAAGAAAAAAATCAAAAAAAATAGTGAAGGTAGTGCTTGATTTATAGTGTTTTATGGTGAAGAAATTTCTCAAAAAAGAGTAATATTTATTCAAATTTGAGAGCAAAACGGAGAATAAATTTAAAAATTGGAAAAAGAAAAAAAAATAGGCCGGCCCGTTACTGTGCAACCCATTACACATCGCGCGGTAACCGCGCCAAACCGCGTGGTTACCGCGTCAAACCGCGCGGTAACCGCGCCAAACCGCGCGGTTTGCCCGAATTTTTGAATTCAAATTTCGATTTGAAAATTTGTCGCGGTTTTGCGCGGTTACCGCGGTTACCGCCGGTAACCGCCGTACCGCCGGGTGGCGGTAACCGGGCCCCCAGCGGTTTTTGAAACCCTGGTATATAGAAGGACGCGCGGCGCCACGCCGCGCACAGCTGAACCCACAAGCATGGCTTAATCAAAGCAACTATTAAAAACACATTAGCTATTATTGACCAAATATTAATTTATAGTTCCATTTAGCTTAAAAACTACTCCCTCCATATATATTGACGTCGTTGACTTTTCAACCAACGTTTGACCATTCATTTTATTCAAATTTTTTGTGCAAATATGAAAATATTTATGTCATGCATAAAGAACATTTGATGACAAATCAAGTCACAATAAAATAAATGATCGTTATATAAATTTTTTGAATAAGATGAATGGTCAAACGTTAGACAAAAAGTCAACGGCGTCATACATTAAAATATGGAGGTAGTATATCATAGTACAAGCGGCTTATACACTCAAAATATCCGTAGTTTGTTGTTTGTTAACAAAGCGGCTTTATAATTAAACAGTGGGTGATCGAACAACATGAGCCTAAGAAAAACAAGATCGATAGAGTAACATTTTTGGTGTGACCAATGTTTCGGATACATACAGGAATAGAACCACTCTGTCTCTTTTACATTTATCATAGCATGATTGCTCATGGAACAACAAATTACTGATTCTAAAATCTGAAAGTAGCAGAAAAAAGCTACAAAACTACAGTCAGTACATAGACATGAACCAGCACAAAATAACTTAGTTCGAGAATTAGTACGAAATCCAAAGAACACAATAGCTCACACCTGTGCAAGCACAAATCCTTTCAAATCTCTAAACCGAATGCCATCAGAGCACCCCCCAAAGTCCCTTACATGGAGCACCTTTTTTGCTGCAAGTAAAAAGGCACAACATTAATTAACTTATGTATGCAACCAATCATGAAAAGCATACTTTAATGTTGACCTGGCTATGTACATGTGCACATAGTAATCTAATTTTAATTAGTTCCATGAGGATAACCATATCATTACAATATCCCATGAACAAACTTAGAAGTTTCTGATGTAGGAGCTAGAAAGAATGATAAAACACTGGAGTTTGGACGATATGGGCATCTAGGGACCAGTTCTCTGTAAACCAGATATGCATACAATGGGCTACATGGCACATAAACAATTTGACATTAGTCTAGCAAATCCAAGAGCATACTCACTTCTGTGTATATCCAAGGGTACCGATTTACTGAATATGCAAACACAAAAATTGTAGAGGTCAAATGTGTACGCTAAATTGAGTTCCAGAAAATTGAAAATTTTAACTGTACAGGAAGAAATTAATCGACAACCCAAAAAAAAAAACCTTGGTTACAATATATTTCGCTATTAAGCTGCATAAGAAAAGCTACAGAGCACTGATAATAATGCATCTGGACATTTATCAACCATATGTTATAGAGATTTAACCAATAAATCAAGAACACGCATGGTGCTTTCAGATCAAACAAACAGAATCACAAGCAAACATAGCCAAATAGATGCCGTCTGATTTGCCTGTGCAATTTGTGTTAAGCAGACATTTGACCACTCCATGAACAGTTTGTGTAGTTAGTCACCTGAAATGCAAAACATGCAAACAAAACACATCTCCATCCATTTTGAACTGTTCCTTCCAAGTTGCAGAAGTGAAAGAAAAAGGGTATCAAATTGGGGAAGCGATTGTTTGCATAGAGTACCAATCAGGAGCAAGAAACCGGTTCTGTTTTTTACAGAGTACCATCAAAATGTACAAAAACAAAATTGAAGGAGCATAGTCTAAATCACCTGTTCCACTAAGTGCTCGTCCTACTGAAAACATGTAAATACAACATGTCAGATAGTTTTAATAACAGGTAGCAGTACTAAGTACGTAGATTTTAAAAAAAGTATTATAAGTACTTGTGCTTCCCTCTCATGGAAGCATTTTATGTTTACGATCTTTCATCTTCTGGAAATGAACAATATAAAATAATATTGTTTGGGGTTGTATCTAGATAGGGTGACTCAACAAAACAAATGACAATCATTCATGAACTTGTTACTAATACGGTTACGTAGTACCTTCTTCACAATTTTCATTGCTAAAGAACCCCTCTCGCCTGACACGGTGGCAGCAGTTAGTTTCATACTACCTCTCCAATTGGTGAAATTAAATTACAAATTTACTAAACTAAAGCAATAGGTACAAATATGTGCAAAGTAAATAATCAACACTATTTTTTTAAGCAGAACCAACATTACTGGTTCCCCCTGAACTTGACATACCTGAAGATTGTAAGATCAACAATCCTAGGCGGCAGCGGGCTAGTACCCAGCGCCCAACAGCAAGGTTCTGGGATTCGGTCCGAAAGATCCGAATTTCGGTGAATTTCACCCATTTCAATGAGGTCCGAGACAAAGATTCACTCCTATTTCGCCTAAATATGGTTCAGTTTTACCAAAATTTCTCAAATTTGGTTTAAATTTGACCAAATTTCATCCGAATTTTCCGAAATTCGTCCATTTCGGTGGACGTACTCCGAATTTTTTCTGCAATCGAATCCCAAAACCCTGCCCAACAGGCACGGCACACCAATGAGCAGAACAACCCTCAGCCTCAAAGACTCGTTGTATCAAAATCTCTACAAATCAGAAGCACCAAACCTCAGTAATCATGGGAGATTGAAAGAGAACTACTTACTGGACATCTTGATAGGAACGTAAGAATTTTGTGTGCAAATCGGATGAGAAATTGGGAATTTAGTTGTATAGGGCAAAAGAAAACTCACCTGATTGCTTATCTTTCCTCAACAAAACACCCATTGCTGTGCTGCTGCTGCTGCTGCCTGATGTGGGGAAAACGCCTAGTGTTCCTCATGGAGACACCTGTCGGCCGTTCTGCCTCGCTTATGTGCTGCTGCTGTTGCTGCATCATGATATGAGGAAGGCAAAGAAGATAGCATTTGTTTTGTTGGGCTTGGTCTGCTATAGTTGCATGTCTATGGGCAAGCGTTAGCTCACGCCTCTGCCCACTGCACCCAACTGAATCGCAACCTCTTGGTTGCTCCTGTCCTGCACAGCTGCATGTCGTCGCTGAGCCGCCAGCCACAGTACTGGAGAGGGAGCTTCCACAGCCGTTGCGCATCTGATGACGGTATGTAGCGGTGCCGGTGGTGAAGGAGGAGGTGGGAGGACGCGATGCCGATGGTGAAAGCGGAGGTGGGACCCAACGCAGTACGAGGCGACGACGATATAGTGCAACTTTTGCAGCTTGAAGCGACAGGGGAGACTGGACTGGGACTCTGGGGAGTTACCTCATCGAAGGGCTCCGCCTCCATGGTTGCGCCACCACTGCCTAGGGTTCTCCCCTCCAAATCGACGGCAGGAGTGAACGAAACAGACGATTTGAGGGCGATAGGGGATATATGCCATCTAATTCGTAGACCTTTCAGGGCAAGCCACTCAATACGCACTTCTTTCAGATTTTGCACTGAGATAGCGAATTCCTTTATTCCGTGCCACTCCGTCGCCGATCCGTCCGTCCGTCCCCAACGCCAGCTTTTCCGTCGTCTTCCCCACCTCGTCACGCTCGTCACCGGCGCCCGCGTGGGCCAAACTCTTGGAGAGTTGGAGGGACTCGAGCTCGGACTCCGGCACGGATGGGAGGAACCAGTTGTCTTCTAATCTTGCGAAGCAGCAGCCGATTAAATGGCGAGGAGGGGCCAGCTGCAGCAGCCCGGCGGGTACGGAGGAGAATGCGGCGACGGCGACCCGGCGGTCGGCACCGGTGACACTCATACTTTCTTCAGGTAATCACTAATCAGGTTCATAGCTGACTCCTCCGAGTGAAATAGCAAGCCTACAGAGTTTGTATGTGTCAAGTCTGCAGGCTGGAACGTACGTAATTGCTCCGTGCATGAATTTATCATAAAAATACTACTGATTGTGCATAGATCTAGCTTGTGTGTTAATTGCAGCTCGCTAATTTCTTCCCTAGTTTCTTCGTTCTCTCTCATCGATCAATTAGTTGCGGAATGTGATTTCTTTCTACTTCGTTCTGCCTTCTGAGGAGCACGCTTGGTAGTTTATCAATGAAAACAGTAGATTCCTCTATCAGTTTTCTCAATGCATTTGTTTGGGAAGATTAACAATTTTTTGCTGATTATGGCATGGAAGAGATTAGCTCTGCAGTTCTGCCTGGTGCTGAGGTCGCACGTCCGCGGAATAGATATGGCCTTCGTTCCCGATGTGGCCCAGGTTCGCGAAGGTGGCCGCTCGCCGGCTACGTCGAGGTGGAAGACGCTGGAAATTTCTTCGCCGAGTTGCCCAACTATTCTGCGGTGTGGAGGGCGGCCTTGGCGCCTGCGGCTAGCCCCGCCTCGTGCGTCTCGGCTCGCCCGTTTCGATCGGCTGCTGCTTTGCCAGATTACAAGACGAATCTGAGCTTGAGGCCCTTTAGAGCGTGGCTATAGGTGTCCAAACGGGCGGCACGGCCCGGCCCGGCATGGGCACGGGTCCGGCACGGCCCGTTAGGCACGGCTGATGAAACGGGCCGTGCCGTGCCGGCCCACGTGCCGAGCCGCCGGCCCAAGCACGGCCCGTGGATGGCCGGGCCGTGCCCGTGCCGGCACGGCACGCCTGCGGCCCACGGGCCGTTCGGGGCATGGCGGCCCGTGAAGGCAGGCCGGCAGCTGAGCTGCACTGGCCGCCAGGCCGCCAGGCCGCCAGTGCACAGTGTTTTTTTTAAAAAAAAAGCAAAGGAAATGTATAAGGAAAAAAAATTAAAAATGGAAATAAAATGTTTAAAAAAATAATGATTTACTAATGTTAAAAAATGAAAAAATGGTATTTAAAAAATGGAAATAAAAGTTTTTAAAAAAAGTAATGATTTGCTAATGTTAAAAAAAAGAAAAAATGGTATTTTTTGTTGTGTTGAAAAATTTAAAAATATAGATTGTGATTCATTATTTTGAAATAATTTAAAGATAAATCCACACTTGCGAAAATATTGCAAAAGAATTTGTTAAAAATAGTAATGACCTTTATTGATGTTTATATCATTACAGGATACAATGATACATGCTGCCTCGTTAAAAACTTTGTCATGTAAAAACTCATAGGGGAAAATGAGAAAACCATGACAAAGAAAAGAGTACAGCTCAAAGGTCAAAACTACTTCTAACAAAATTCTACTGGGGTTGGTCTGGATCCAGGTAGAGTTGCTCGAACTGGGCGGCCAATTCTTGGTTGTCCGCAGTGTATTGGGCATGTTGTCGAGCAAGCTCCCAGTCTTTAACGCTTAGTAGCATTTCGACGTGGTCGCTGCGCAGAGTCGTCCTCCGGTCTTCGATGATTCGGCCGCATAGACTGAAGGCCGATTCGGAGGACACCGTCGACACGGGCACCGTCAACACATCCCGTGCTAGTTTTGAAAGCACAGGATATGTTATCTTGTGGTCATTCCACCACCCGAGGACGTTGAAATCTTGTGCTTCGTGGTGGATGGCGTCGCTGTCCAAATAACCGGACAACTCTTCGGCCACAACATGCGAAGAGGCGTCTCCACTTGTAGCCGACGAACTGCCACCACCTTGGATTGAAGACGATCCACCCCAAATCCTACCCCACTGTATCTTCTTCTTACCTGTAGTGGGGATAGGAGGGGGTCTCTGCTGACGAACTTTCTGAAACTTTACTTCATATCTTCCAAAAACCTCATATAATTTACGTCTAACCTCAGTATAAAAAGAACTATAATCTACACCTATAGTATCTCCAACAAGTGATAAAATAGCAGACAATCCCCTTAATTTACACCTAGGATCTAAAACAAAAGCAAAAGCATACAACATAGGTATATTTTTCCAATATTTCAAATATTTTTGTTTCATGTGAAAGACAGGTTCAGTTAGAACGTCATCATTTTCGTATTCTTTAAATAAAGTAGCAATTTCAAGAAGGTTGTGCAAAATTATATTAGCAGTTGGATAATAAACTTGTGACAAAGTTAGAGTACAATCATAAAAAGTTTCTAGAAATTTGTGAAATTTTTGGACAATTGCCCAAACATGCTCGTTCAGTACTGAAGACCTGTCACTGTTTCTTGGGCCACCACGTGACTGAACAAAATCAAAAAGTAAACTACTATAAGGTAAAACAACTTTTAACATTAAATACGTTGCATTCCACCGATGCTCTGCATCGGTGGCAAACTTACGAGCTTTCACACCGGCCGCATTGCAAAACCTCTTCCATGCAGCAATCCGTGGGTTAGAAGCAGTTAACCACGCGATTGCTTGACGAACAGCATCGATGTGGTCACCTACCCTCTTCATGCCAGTCTTAACAATCAAATTAATTATATGACATGCACAACGCTGATGGAGTAGAAAAGATTGAGCATACACACAAAATAAAGGTTGCAATATTTCAATAGCCCTAGAATTAGCAGATGCATTATCTAGGGTGACAGCAAATATTTTATCAGCAAGATTAAATTCATTAATTACTTCCCTAATTCTTTCAGCTATGTTTTCTCCTGTATGTGAGACATCTATTAACCTAAGCCCTAAAACTCTCTTTTGTAATTGCCAATCATCATCAACAAAATGAACAACTACGCTAAGATAATCCTCTCTAGCTCTACTACTCCATATATCTGAAGTAACACTAACAGAGAAAGTACATGTACTAAACAGTTCCTTAAGTGCAGTTGCTTCCTTGTGATAAACATTCTCTAAATCTCTAGTTGATGTTTGCCTACTCACAGCTTTAAACCTAGGGTTATGAGATTGCTGAATGTAATGTTCAAAAGCAGGGGACTCCCCAAAGTTCAGGGGTAAATCTTGCCTGGCGATTAACCGGACAAGAGATTCCCGAGCAACCATGGGATCGTACTCCCAACTGCGTACCGTACCGTCTGGGTTTACCATAAGTTGCTGCTGCCGGAGTTGTATTCCTTGCTTCTTGGCACACGACTCCGCATGGCGCTTGAGGTGACCTGTACCACCAGAAGAACGAGCAGATAAAATTTGCCTACATATTCTACAACGGGCTTTCGATACCTCCCTTCCGTCGGGGCATGTTTCCTTTATCTCGTCGAAGTTTTGCCACACACCGGAGGTTCTCGATCTCTTCGAGCCGGTGTGTGTCAAAACACTTCCGCTCGCGGTTCCGGAAAATCCTTCCGAAGCTGTCGCCGCCTGAACCGGTACCTCCTCAACGACAGCCGTATGAACCGGTACCTCCTCCACAGATGGTGGAGTTGGAGCCGATCCGGAGGTATCGTCAAACCCCGACATGTAGTTGGGGTCGAAATCACCCAAGGTGAATGACGGCGACTGGTATGGAAAGTTCGGATCCATTCTGAAAATTTAAACCGACATAAACAAATTTTCGAATATTTATTGAATTCACAAACACAATACAAATAATACACAAATTTGAATATTACTTACATCTTTCCAACCGCGAGCTCTTCAAACCTCTGTGATCAAACTGTTGAACTACGAAACTAATTTTGATTTTTGACAAAATTTGAGCAAATTTTGTCAAAATCAAAAAAAATGCACACTTGAGAACAAAGAGAGCACTTAAAACACTTGAGAGCACAAGATGAGGAGTGTGGGATGAGGAGAAATGGCTGGGGTTCATGCCCTATTTATAGGGCGAAATTTGAGATTTTTTGGAATTTTTTCGAAATTTTTATGAATTTTTTAGCCTCCCAACGGTTATTTTCAAATTTGAACGGTCAAATAGCCGTTAGTGCCACGTGGCGCCTTCCCATTCGACCGCCGCCCGCCCTGTCCCTGCTTTCGGCCTGGCGCGTGCGCCGCTGGCCCGCTTTCAGCCTGACGGGCCGCCGGCGAAACGGGCCGTGCCGTGCCGCGGGCCGTGCCGTGCCGTGCCGCTACAGTAGCCGTGCCGTGCCGTGCCGGCCCGCGGGCTCGGCCAGCGGCCCAAGCACGGCACGGCTACTCGTGCCGTGCCGGCACGGCCCGTTACTGTAGCAGGCCGTGCCGGGCCGTGCCTGCTACAGGTTCGGCCGTGCCCCGGGCCGCCCGTTTGGCCCGGCCCGTTTGGCCACCTCTAAGCGTGGCCCACGCCGGCGCCGGTGACGAGCATGACGAGGTGGGGAAGACGACAGAAAAGCTGGCGTTGGGGACGGACGGACGGATCGGCGACGGAGTGGCACGGAATAAAGGAATTCGCTATCTTAGTGACAAAATATGAAAGAAGTACATATTGAGTGGCTTGCCCTGAAAGGCCTACGAATTGGATGGCAAATAATGAAATGGAAGGAGACGTCAGCGGTCAGCCCGAAGCGGCGGCATCGGCTTCGTCGCGGCCACAGGGGCTCGGGGACAGAAAAGACCATGTGTCAAAAAAATTTACAATAAAGTTTGACAATTAGTTTTTCTCAAGCGCATCCATCACAACTATGGTCACTCTATATCATTCCACAACCCTGATGATCCCGATGCCCGCAAAAAAAAAGAGAAAGAATCAAGTAAAACCTAAACGAACCCAATTACACAGTATCTTTTTAAGACCACAATAGTCCTCCGCTCTAGAGAACGGATCCATAGAACCACTGAAGAAACATCGACAAGTCTGATCCATGGCCCGATCCTAAACCAAATATGCTCTTAGAGCATCTCCAACAGCATCTCTAAATTAGACTCTCCAAATACCCATTTAGCCAACTCTCCAACTGATTTGGGTAGTCAAACTAGGTGTGCACTCCAACAGTCTCTCTATTTACATCTCCAAAATTACAAAGGGGCCCACATGTCATCCTCCCATCTCCATTCCCTTCTTCTTCCTCCTCTTTCTCTTCCCCTTTCTTTTCTCCCGCGTGGTCGCATCGATCCAGCGGCGACAGCGACGGCTCTAGCACGCGAGGCGGATGGCGACAGCGGCGGAGGCAGCGGCGGCGACGACTACCCGCGCGGTGGTGGTGACAGCTCCAGCGGCGGGCGGCGGCGGCAGCGGCGCCCGCGAGGCGCGAGGCGGCTCCCCGCGCGCGCGAGGAGCGAGGCGGCGGCGGCGACGGCTCCCCGCGCGCGCGAGGAGCGAGGCGGCGGCGGCGGCGGCTTCAGCGGCGGGCGGCAGCGGCAGCGGCGCCCGCGAGGCGCGAGGCGGCTCCCCGCGCGCGCGAGGAGCGAGGCGGTTGCGGCGGTGGCTCCCCGTGCGCGCAGCGGCAATGGCAACAACGGCTCGGGCGCGAGGCGCGAGGCGGCGGCGGCGGTGGCTCCCCTCACTCGAGCAGTAGCGACGGCTCATGCGCAAGGTGCAAGGCGGCGGCGGCGGTGGCTCCCCGCGCGCGTAGCAGCGATGGCGGCGATACGAGGCGGCGGCGGCGGCTCCCGGCGCGCGCAGCGGCGACGGCTCGTGCGCGAGACGGCGGTGGCGGTGGCTCCCCGCGCGCGCAGAGGCGTGACGGCAGAGAGAGGATGGACGGGGATGGGAGTGGCGGTGGGACCCACCTTTGGCAGTGGAGGAGGCTGGCTACATTTGGCCAGCCGGAGGAGCAATTTGGCCATCCGGATGGCTTGGCTATCCGGATGCAGAGGCTATTGGAGCTCGTTTTTTCTCTATGTTAGCTAAATTTTAACTTGGAGAGCCAAATAGAGATTCTGTTGAAGTTGCTCTTGTGCCGCCATCCGTCGAAGCGACCATAACGCTCACAAAGCCCTTTACCAAATTCAACTATTATTGTTGTATATACCAAATCCAATTCACAGGTTGAGCGGTTTGACTGTTGTCCGGTTCAGTTGCTAGTTAAACAGTCAAATAAAGCAAAGTATATCCCAATAACACACGATAGCAATGTTGCTTTGGTGGCTAGATGAACTTGAGTTCGAATCCTTACACAATTAAGGTAAGCATGAAATCATCTTTAATCTATCTATTATATACTAAAAGTTCATTAAATTTTTTACAAACGCTCCTAAGCCGTCACGGGGTACTCTAAAAAATTAGAGAAATTCTTAAAATGGCACAACATGGAACCGTTGATTTTTTATTAAATTTGGTGACCCATTACTTGTAAAAAATCATCTCGTTATCCCCTAGGCCCACCTCGGCTTGTCGGCAATTGCAAGTACGTACGTTTATTTGTAACCATTAGATTTATTAGAAAAAAAAATCATCTCTTTATCCCTGGGCCCACCTCGGCCTGTTGGCAAATGCAAGTACGTACGTCTGTTGGCAATGTCATTAGATATTTATATTTAAAAACTCATATCCAATTTAGTTCAACTTAAAGAGAAATATGTCATATTAATCGGGGCCACATTTTCTAACTTTTGTGTCATTTAAGCAATTATAAAACTATAAAAAAATAATTATATATATTTTATCATCGTATATAACTTGATAATAATTAAATTAGATCTAATAAAATTAAAATGAACATATCTTTGAGTAATATTAAAAAAAATTAGACCCCCCATTATAACACAATAAAAAGTACACATCTTATAAACACTCCTAAGATATTATGTTGTTCTCTTAAATCGGAGAAAATACACTCTTAAGATATTACGTCGTTCTCTTAAATAAGAGAAAATCCTAAAAATTCTGACATGACAACAAAACATTCGACCATCAGCTTCGACTTAAACATCTGACACATTATTTTAGTTTATTAGATTAATCATTTAGAAAAAAAAACATCCCAAACCTCCCTTCCTCCCAGCCCGTGTATAGCCTGCGCCATTCTTTTCTCTCTATTTTTTATCTCCTTATCAACTGAATTTAAAATTTTCTATATGGAAAAAAACACAAATGGGCCTCCATCTATTACTTATATCCCATTAGGCGTTTCACGACTTTCTACCCACTAATTAATTTCTCTTAACATGCATATGAGGGCTATGTATCTATACAAATTGACCTTGATACTTTTAAAATGATCTTTTTAGGAGATAAATAAATATTCATAAGAAAGATTATCATAACATCCCAATTACACATATGATATATGAAGTTACTAATCATAACAGGTATTTATCTAGCAATATAGACAATAGATTGAAAATAAATGTGTGGCCGGTTGAATATCATACCAGTAAGCATATGGGTTGCACCTAGGAATCTTAACAACCTTGAGGTGGCCTTTACAATAAATCAAGTCAATTCTATATAGGAATTAAAGACCATGTCATTTTTTTTAATTTCTGGTAAATTTTGCTACAATATATTATAAAATCTTGACATAGAACAATCTAGAAATGTGTATTTGTTATAAGATACTCCACTTTAGTGATGATTCGCTAAACACACTATGACCATTACTTCAATATTTCTTGACAGAAAAATTTGGAATGCATGCCTTTACCCCATGCCATGTTATATGCAATTATATTTTCGTCTCAAATTGCAAATATCAAATCATTTCAAGGATGATTCATATAATGAAAATATCCAAAAATAAACAAAAATAAAAATGGACATGAAATAAATTGAAAATTGAGCAAATGTTGCTAGATTTAAAACCCACTCTAAATAGTTAGAATGATAAAATATATAAAAAACTAAAGTACAATCAATCAAACAATTGATATTGTTGGATTTTTTTGAGTAGTAAGATATCCTGCTGGGGAGTTAAGATATCCTAAATTTTCTTATAGGAAGCAACTCCTTTGTTTCGACACAATATTTTCTCATCAATTCAAAACCGTATCTTCTCAAATAATTTATTTTTGAATTTATATGTTGTAAGGGTAATTATAAGAAAATAACCAGCGTTCAAAGCACACAAAATAAATTTAATTTTAGTTTAGAATATAATAAAAAAATATTTAATAAAAAGCCACCCACACATAAATATTCATAATAAAATTTCACTTACATTATACAAGAAGATGTCCACACGTATGCACGGGCTACCTTTCTAGTTTTTATAACAGGTAAAGTTAAAAATATAGATAGTCTTAATGTATTCAAATCATATTTTGTTTTTGTTTCCGAAATATCGAACCAGCATCATTGATCAATTTCTAAAAAATCGTCTGCCTAGGGAAACTAGACTAACCGATTTCATCCCTCGTGAATACTAGCTGAAGTGGCCATTTCCACTTATAGGCTATAAGCCAACTATAAGCTTATGTAGAGGAAAGAGAATTTAAAAAATGGAGAGGGTTGGCTCTCATGCAAGAGCTAGCTATTCACATACTTCAAGATAAATACATTAAATACATAGGTGAGAGATAGAGAGAGGAGGAGAAAAAAAAAAGATAACATTATAGCTCATTTACTATACATGTTAACTCTAATATTAGCTATAAGCTCATAGTTGGCTCTATTATTAAACTTGCTCTTAGAAAAGCGGGTGAAAAATTGAAGTCGCCTCCCCAACAAGCCTGAAGCCCTATACTTCATTAATTAATTATACTATACAGCGATTACTAGAAGCTAATTGTATTATCCTACATATGCCCAAATAAAATATTGGTGTACAAGGAAATTGACTAACAAACAAATGCCCTAGCACCGAAATTCTTCTCAAGGAGAGTATGGGTCTGTTTGGTTTATAGGGTTTGGTTTGGGAAAATGATCCTATCCGGGCGACCGATGCACGAACTAAATATCGAGCAGTTACTCCCCTCACCCACTTCTTCTCCATTCCCTCATCCTCTTTTCTCTCTCTTTCTTCTTCTCTATCCACACAAATTCTCTTTATATAGGAGAAGCTCAGCGGCGCGGCTGCCACAAGGACGCAACCGACCTTTGCGTGGCATCGACAACGGTAGACACGCTGACGGGTCGAGCTCTGTGTGGCGTCGGCAACGGTGGTCACACGGATGCGGTGGAGCTTGGCGCGGTGTCAACGACAGCGACCATGCGGTTGTGTCTGACACGGACAAACTCAACGTGACATAAACAATAACAGCCACGCAGTTGCACTGCATAGACGACAACATTGCAAATTGGACACTAGAGAATGTGGTACCAATTCGGGGGCATGCCGGTGCCACCTCCTCACCCACGGCACCATCCCAGTCGATGTGGTGGCTAACCACCGGAATGGAGGAAGAGATAGATCTAGATTTTTCTTTTGAATTTTTTAATGTTTCAGTATATGTACCATAATGTTTCATCGGTTAGATTTAAATGTTGCAGTGGGGTTTTCGATGGTGTTTCATTCTTTTTCTCAATGTACTTGGATTTTTTTCATGTTTCACTACATTCGAAACTGTTGTTTTATACGCTGTAGTAAAATGTTTTATTGTGTGATTTGATTATGTTTTACTATCTTCAGTACTGAAACATTTTTACGTAAAGACTGAAACAACGTCCTCGATTTGTAGTCGTTTCGATCTGTTTTGTTTACAGCCCAAACAAACGACACAAAAATATTGGCAAGGACAAGGGCATAGCCTGGGTACGCATTGGTTTGTTTCCAGAAAAATTGGTGTTGCTAACATTTTGGCAAGGGCAAACAAAACATCACAAGTTACATTCCCACAATTTTGGGCATTGCCAAAATTGTGGCTTGCCAATTTTTTTTAGGCAACAATCCATTATATACTTCAATATAGGATTTTTGGGATCTAATTTTGTACATCTATCGACTCTTACGGCCATTACCTTTTCGATTGACCTGGCCGAGTTCCTGAAGATATCGTGATTATTACTCACCACACGTTGTACACAATGATTTGAAAAGCGTATTTCCCTTTTTTCTTTTTCCTATCCCAATTGGGCATTTGGTAAACGGAGTTCGCTTCCCTCCAAAATGTCATCCACTTCCATGTCAGTCCGTTCTCCGGCGTCCTTCCCCTTCCCCACGGCAGCCGGAGCCCGCGGCCGCGTCGGCTCGGCGCAGCCGGTGGGCCCCAAGCTCCTCTCCTCGCCACTTCCGCCGGCGGCCACGCCCGCGGTGCCTCGCCGGCTCCTCTTCCCGGTGGCTGCCGGCATTTGGGACTTCCTTTCCGGTGGCGGAGCAGGCGGCGCGGCTGCCGCGTCGCTCGCCGTCCGGGGAGGCATGCAGCTCTTCAGGCAGGTGCGACGATAAGGGGATTTTTCTTTCACATTCTTTTCCCACTTATTTTCTGTAATTACAGATAAACCCCTCGTCTCAGCCAATATCTGCTTCCGTAATGCTGCGCGGCGAAGCTGTTTTTGTTATTAGCTTCGATAAATTGCGTGAGGGTTCTTGAATTTTTTTTTTCTGTTCGTCCTATCTTTGCATTACAGGGAGATGTAGCTGGCTCAGTAGCAGAGTTCGATCGGGCAATTGAGCTCGATCAGCGGCAGAAGAAATGTATGTATTTGTAACACTTCAAAGTTCAGATTTCAGAGTGTGAGTCAGCAATGTACAACTGGCTGCAATTGTGCTTTGTTTCAGATCTCTGGCAAAGGGGGCTTTCACTCTACTACCTGGACAGGTGCATTATCATGATAGTAACTAGGTTCATAGATTCTGGAAACTGAACCAAATAATTTCAAGCCATGGACTGAAATTAAACCATGTGTAACCATCTCTTTTATCCTTGGTTTAATTGATCGAAATTCTGGGATAGGTTCGAAGAAGGTGCAGAACAGTTCAGGCTGGATGTTGCTGCCAACCCGAATGACACTGAGGAGTCGATATGGTGCTTTCTCTGTGAAGCTCAGCTGTATGGGGTAGACGAAGCAAGGAAGCGCTTCCTGGAGGTAAGTTTTCCAGCTAAAGATATGTTTTCTGAATGCTAGATTTCTTGATGTGTTCTACTTCTTACTAATGAGGTATGGTGCGTGACGTGAAGAAGTACGTAATTAATGTCCTCAAGTAAGATGCAAAATCTTTGCCACTTCTGTAGACTTTCATGGTCTTATCAATTTAGTTTGTTGGCATGAACTAACTTCCTAAATGGTGTTTTTACTGTCCATTATACACTATCTTTACATTGCGTACTTCATTCTAGCAATCAAAACTGAAGCTTTCAAATCTAATGAATCGTTCATAATATATGCTGTGGAAACATCTATGCCTCCATGGTGACTGCAGTACATAACAAATTCAAATTATCAATTGACTAAAAGTGTCTTAAGCTGAGATCAGCTGGCAGAGTACTAAACGAATACAGTGCTATTGGGCGTCCGTACTCACTTGATGATGACCACATTTATAAATTTCTTAAAATTTTCTATGCATACGACATAACGCGTCCTACATGTACAAATTTCTAATATTCTTCTTGACAAATCTCTCCCAAATATAAATGGCCTGCAGCACTATGTGTAAACAGCCCACACTAATTGCTGGTAAATGTAAACTTTATTGCGCTTCACTTTCAGGTTGGTTTAGACTCAAGGTCTGTAATGCGAGAAGCTTATGCACTGTTCAAAGATGGTGGGGACCCTGAAAAGGTTGTTTGATTTGATGATAAATGAACATATCTCACCTGTTCTTACAAATTTCTGATAAACATTTACGCTAGTTTTCTTTTTCATCTTCAGTTGGCTTCAAATTTCTCTAGTGGTTCTGAAGGTGAAATTTTCTATTCATCATTATACACTGGACTTTACTATGAATCTCAGGTACAATTAAAATCACAAACCTTCTTGTGAACATTTGCATTCTTATTAGGTTATTTACATATTTTCTCATAGTTTTTTTACTGAACTTCCCCCAGTACAACATTTAACAGGTTTTCGTCAACGCTATATTTTCTTTTTGCTTTGTGGGATGTTTTCTATTTTATAAATATATCCATTGTAGTCCTTGGATCACTCACACATATAGATTATAATTGATGCATAGCCAGTTGAATGAAATATATATACCGGAAACACGAGCAGACTGAGTAGTTCTAAACATGAGCAGTTGACACATCCTGCAAGTAGGTACTAGGTAGTGTCCTGTTCTTCTCTTATCCATGGCAATCGCAATTAAAATTTAAAAAGTCTCTTTACTTTGTGAACATTCAGAACATTGAACTACTACTACTTTGATTCTGTACTGAACAGAAGGATGCAGAGTTGGCAAAGTCCCACATTGTTGCTGCATGCAGGTCACCATATGGATCAAGGTCTTCCATCCCCACCTGTTCCAAAGTACAGATATATTTCACTAACTGTGCAGTCTTCAGCCATACTGAATTAACAGGATAATTCTTGGTTTAGGTCCGGTGATTACATGGCTTCACTTGCACTAGTTCATTGTCAATGCCGCAACTGGACTCTGGAGTGACAGAAGTATTATACAAACAAGTGGACCTAAACATTCTTGTTGAAGCCAACAGATAGGAAGCATCTTGGGTATGTTCTTCCCATGGCTCACTGTATTTAACTGGACTTCTTGGTCTCAAATTTTTGTAGATTTGGTAAATAGCACATTGCCACTCACAGTCAATGACGTAACGGCTCTTATGTGTCTATGACATGTAGATCCAGTAACAAATCCTAAATTGTCATTTGTAAGAGTGGCAATTAGTTAAATATCTCGCGTGATCTGGACTCTTCCTCTTCTTTTTTTCCCTTTTAACGAGACTGAAATGGCTGATCAAACACGGTGGAAGCATTTTAAAGATTCAACCTCTGAGAAAGATGAGAAATGAAACCAAATCAAGCGTTGAGATGCTCATTGAATGAATCTTTATTTTCATAACATTTCCCATGCTTGTTGAGTAATTCTTCCACAAAGTAAGCAACTTATAATCAGTTGATCGGTGGTTCTTCGTCCAGAAGAACAGAGTGAGTGAATCACCAAGTATAGTTAAATGATTCTGAAAGTCTGAACCATTATTTTTTTAATTAATACATGTACTGATTCGGAAGCCTAAAAACAGTATATATTTTCTTGACATTTAAACCTCACTACTACGATTCATTTGTTTGGCACATCAGACATAGCACCCAGAAATTTTCAGTGCAGAAATCGCGCTTGTTCATGCAGAAGCCGGACTGCAGCCAGGGATGTTGGTACCAGCAGCGCAGCCGCTACTAGCAGTAGAGCATCCGCCCAAAACTTGAGTAGCTGGCCTGGACGGCCTCCTCCAAACAAGAGACGGTGGCCTTGGCCACTGACGCAGCATGAACACAGCGTAGTACACCAGAAGCCCTGAAACTACGCACGACACCGAAGTCATCGCGCACCTGGAGACTCCATGCTCATCCATGGAGGCCGCCAGGTAGCCGAACCCGGCCACCGCCCCGGCGCCGAGGAAGACAACTAGCCCGTTTCTGTTCGATTTGATCGTGTCCACGGTGATAACCGTGCTGCTCCGGTCGATCGAGGTGAAGGCTGGACCAGAGAAGCGCCGGGACAAGCTCCGGCACGCAGAGCAGCAGCACAACGTTCTCGCCGAGCAGCTTGGCGGCCATGGCGTGCACGGTCACCGGCCAGCAGCACCACGAGCGAGGCCTTGCGGAGCAGCTAGCTCTCACGCGACGCCGGCGCGACGCCCGGAGCCACGCCGGCGTCGTACAGCCAGCTGAGCCTCGTCAGCATCAGGACCAGCGCGCCCAGTGTGGCGCTGAGGAAGAGGAGAAACTGGGTGACGGCGAGGTCCGTGGCGCGGGCCGTGCCCCGTCACACATAGCGCCCAGTAGGGCACAACCGACATCGCCGTCAGCTGCTCGGCTTCCTCGGCCGCCGTCGTCGTCGTATTCTTGTTGCCTTCGCGATCAGTTGCAGCAGCCGAACTGGCACTGCTGCTGCTTGCGCCAGGCTCGCCGCCATTGTCAGCTTCAGCTCGGATCAGTGCGACGCACAGCGCGGCGATGAAGGCGAGCGCGATGAAGGGGAAGACGGCGAGGACGATGAACCTCACGTCGATCACGAGCAGGGTCGCGTAGGATATCACCACGACGATGAACCTCACGTCAATTTTTTTCGGTGTAGTTGTTGGGATTGAGTAAGAACATTCTGTATATTTCTATGTTCCGATATTGTTAGCGTGTCCAGCTCTGCCGTTCCAATACTGTCTCTGAGAAAAAAAATATTGTAACGGAAATTTGATCATTCTTTTTTTCCGATCGTTCTCATTCTACCGCATGGAGATCGATCTTTGCTAGTTATGCTAGGAAAGAAAAGAAGAGAGCAATCCATGCATCTTCCTCCCCCATTCCTGCTCTCTCTCTCTCTCTCTCTCTCTCTCTCTCTCGCATTCGGTCATCTATATATATGGACAGAACCATGAATGTGATAGATAAAATCCCTGCATTTAATGTGCCATAAACCATATCCGAAAAATGTAATGCAAATATAAAACAAACGCTCGTCTCGGTTACATTCATGGCATCATGATATGCTAGTAGTACTAGCTATGCAGAGTGAAAAGAATAAGTAAATCATAATTCTAATATTTAATTTGAAAAACAGATCCTAGCCCCAATGAGCAAAAATGATTAATAGCATACGACAAGACAATAGGCAATATCATTATGAAAGGAACATAATGAAATCAATTAAACACCACTACTAGGACTGGCCCTGGAGAGGATCCCAGCGTGAGTAAGCAAAACCCATAGAATTGTTATCAGCTCACCTCCTCTGGCAATGGCCCTTCTATGAGCATCAATATTGTCAGAGGGGGCAATGTACAATATCATCTCTGACCAAAACCCAGCAAGAACCGTCCATCCCATCTCTTCATCCTCAATTCCCTCCACAAGTTGCTTCCCAAGAGTTAAACCTTTGTTCAATATCATATCGCTCCTGGATTTTTCAACCAACAATAGTAATATGTACTCATATTCCAAAGGTTTATCATTCCGGCCACTGAAAATGGGATCGACAATCTTCTTAACAGATTCATATGATTTCTTCGACCATGCCTTGTCATCTGGCAGTAGCTCAGAAGCAGATGATAGCAAGTATGCACAGTACTGTGACAGATAAGTGGCGGTGATCTTATTGCTAATTGAGTCTGCAATCAAAGGCTCAGTCGAATGCCTGATCTCGAAGATACAAGTTGCAATGTGCCATACAAGAATAACATCAGATGTGCCATCTCCTTTGCAAGCCCATGAAAAACTCTTGCCGATATGGCTTTGTTGGAGTGATGTAATACAATCAGTTGGTCTCCAGTTTTGGCTTTTGAGAGTGTTGATAATTGCAGCCTTCACCTCTGTTGGTATCTTCACTTGCTTAGTTTGGACTGGCAGTCCGAGTAGTTGTTTAATTCTAACAATTGGACCTATATTCATGTTGGTATCCATTAGGGAGGTTTGGCCCATTTTGTCACTCCAGTAGCCCAAGAGATTGCATCGAAATTGTAGTACGCAACGAATCAATCTCCGCATGCGAGGAGATTGCTGCCATGTGGGTTTGGTTATGTAGTAGCAAATCAAGGTAACTTTGGTCCAATTTGAGCACATGTATGAGACAATCTCCCATACCTCATCAAAAATTAGTACTATCACAAAGAGGAATGATAGCACCATGAAAAACAAAATCGATCCGAACTGTTTGGCTTGATCATTCTTACCGCATATCAACACACAGGTTATCTGATGGTAGAATGGATCTGATGACATTGGCCCAACCTGTGCTACCGAAACCACATGTTGAATCGTGCGTATTGCAATAAATAAGCAGCATGCTGTGCCGGCGAAGGAGAATAAGATGTTTAATACGAATAACCAGAAGACTGAACAGGATACTGGGAGCGATGAATGGTAAAAATCACATGCAAAAGATAGCTCATCCGCGACAATACTGACAATTCTTTCAGGTTCAGTGTCACTATCAAATAATGTGCACACCATGTTTGGGCCAATCTCAGATCCTTCTTCCACAACTACACACCTCGCAAATCTTCGCCGCAGCAGCTTGAACAGCGAGAATGATAAACACAGATCTTTGAGTGGCGGCCATGAGCTCAAAACACCATCCGTTGATGACATGATCTGAACTTTACCGATGGTGACCAGGCTTTCATTTCCCTTCCTGTCTCTAAATCGATAGCCATGAGGGCCTTCCTCCACCTGCTGCTCATCCTCCCCCATGACTAAGAGTGGCAACGCAACATTTACAGCTTGCGCGTGGTGGCTGCTGCTGCTGCTGCTCATGATATCCTGTTTCAGTTGATCCATGTATCCAGCAATCAGGCGAGGGTTGCGTCCATGCGCGAACGAGCGTTGCGCCTTCAAGAAAGCATATAACTTGACAACAATCCTGACAAGAACGAAGCCACACGACATCGAAATGAAGACACGGTCAAGTGGAAAAATAATTCTGAAGTGGTGAACTGAAATGTAAGAGGTCCAGATCGCACGAACAAGCAGCTCCGCGACGGGACGATGAACATTTTGACCTCCATGGTCATCAGCAGCAGCTATCACGAAGCTGTTTGCTCCGAAAATCAGCGCAAGGATCGCCCATGCTTCCAGGAAGAACGCACTCATGTCCTTGCATTCCTTGACGTCTTTTGGCAGGCCGCAGTTCTCACCGCCGATGTCGGAGACGAGGTAGGAGACTACAGGCAGGTACAGGGTAGAGGCTCCGAGGAAGACGAAGCGGGCGAAACCATGGCGCCGGTGGCGACGGCTGTAGACGCCTGATCCTACAAGGATCGTCACCACGGCGGCAGCGAAGATCAACTGACCTCGCGTGCGCCACACTCGCGCCTGCATGCGCTTGTAGAACTCATCCAACCCTGTGACGTCGCATGCTTCTCGAGGCCCTGACATTGACATCGTTGAGCTGTTGTTTCTTTATCTGTTAGATCTGCATATACATGATTCATTCAAGAGTTGCCTCAAAAACTACTATATTTGGCCAGAAACCGAATGAGAAGTAGTGTACAAACTAATAAACGAGTAATGCAAGAGCAAGAATTAACAGTTTGAGGTAGACAGTCTTAGGCTTTTAGCTAGTCGGCTCAGATTAGCCAATCAAATCTAATTAGCAATTTATCACTGAACTAGAACACCATAGATCGATCGATGTCGTCGTTTTCACCTTACAGAGGTGTTATATATCCAAGCAATTAATTAATCGGAAGGTTATGAGAAGAGAAATTAAGAACGAACGTACGTATACCTACCTGCATGCAGTTCAACGGATCACTTGAATCATCGCTTCATCAGGACAAAGGATCCACAAGATCATTCGGCAAGGTCAAGGCTATCGATCAAGGCAAGGAAGTAATAACGTAGTACGCGGCAACTGCAAGCGTATGCTACGGTTATCTTATCTCGACTTGGAGTATTATACACATTTTGTTTGCTCTCTTCGATCGGTCCCCCTGTTATGCTACAACAGTTCCGTACTATCAACACCTCAACTCCTCAAGGTGGCCTCTGTGATCCTGTGGGTGCTTCCTGAATACGAAGTTCAGCAGGCTGGCCGTCTCATTCCGTACACCCGTTTGAACAAGCAAAGAAACAGCTTGGCCCCTGTATGTCCATCTTCCAAGTAATCGCGTGCATCAATATCTTAATTAGGCCAATAGACCAATCAAACTTGCCTCTATTTCAAGAGAGAGAGAGAGATATATATAGGACAACTTGCCGGTACACACGGAGAGAAACAGAAAGTGTAACATTGATAAAAGTCAACGGTGGGTAAGACGGGCCAGCCATGTGGTTTTGGAATTAAATTTGAAAATATACTGACTTTTTTTCAGAAATATACGGGATGCAAAAAAAAATTTTAAGAGATATACCACCCGCACAACCGTTATACGAAAATAACGTAGTGCGATGTCAATCCAATGAGAAAAGTGCGAGACCGCAGAGTGAAAGAGCGAGCCTGAACGGTCTCACTGAACCAATCAACAACACCATCCCAACGGCTCCATTTGATTAGTGATTAATTAACTAGTTAACTATTAACTAACAACAATTAGTGATTAGTTATCTTGATTAGTAATTAATTAAACGCTAATCTGAATAATTAATCAATTTGAAATCGCTCCCTGGTTCAGCGAGACTGTCCGGTCTCGCTCTTTCGTTTCACAAGACTACGTGATACCATTCGCGATGTCACGTCTACGTTATTTTCGCGTAACGGTTGTACAAGATCGACAATATATTTCTACAAAAAATTTTGCATGCCGAATATTCCTAAAAAAATTTGAATGAATAATATATTTTCAAATTTAATTATGTGGTTTTGTGCGACAGAGAGCCCGAGATGGACTTGCATGCCCTTTATGTGCTCGCTATGTGTATCTGTTTGCCACTAGCAGAGCGGCCGAATTTGGCTGTAAGTGCTCAATTCACAAAATTTTCGAGTTGACAATGACATCGCGGCGAAGTGATCAAAGTATATATTCTGTTCAAAACTTGTTTTGCTGCCATGATCCGTAGTCCATAGGAACAAACAAAGGCACGTACGCGCCAGGTCCATCCGATTATTGGCTCATTAACTCAGTACAGTTTGAAGCATGTTTCCGTTGGATTCACAGCGATCCATCGGCAAGGCCGAATTCACAGGCCTTCCCCTGGAATGGGCCGACCTAAAATATCGGAGTGCATGAGGCATTTCGGCCTTATCAAACAAAACCAAGGATTCGCACAAGTCAACCCACGGATAATTGTTAGCCTATTTTTAATAAGTCCACTTGCCATCCCTCAACTATATGTCGAGCTTCTCTCCAATACTATAAATCTTCACCTCTAACCTATATAAAACCGTGCAATTAGGTCTCGTAGTAGTATGGATATCTAGTTTCGCTGACGTGGCATCCTAGTCAACAAAAAATTTAAAAAAAATATGGGGTCCACATGTAAGTGAGAAGAAAAAAGTAGGGCCCACGTGTTAGCATCCTCTTCTTTCTTTTTCTTCCCAAGCTTGGGAAGGAGGGGAGAGGTGGTCGGCGGGAGAGACAGAAAACAAGAGAGGTGATGTTGGAAACATAGACTTAAAACACATCCTTAGAGCAAGTTTAATAGTATAATCAGTTACTAGCTGAAAAATTGACACACCATATACAATCACTTTAATAGCTTACCCATACAACTCTCTTAGTACAAAGTTATACTCACTAATTTTTAAAGCTTAACATGCAAAGATGCCACATCATTATCCACTAATAATTATTACATTTAAGCATCATACAAGTATGCTATATTATCTATAATTTAATAATTTATTAAATTTTAGAGATTTAAAATATAAGCATGTTAAATCATCCCACATAATTCACATAATATTTCAATATATCTCTCCATTATTTCTTTATAATATCTCATATTCCTGTATAGTTCATCCTCACTTAGATTATTTATTTTTCTTTTATCTCATTAAGTCAGATCACATTAATTGTTTGTAGTCCTTAAATGATTAATATATGGTTCAAATTATCTCTCTTATTTTCTTCTCTCATTAAGCCATATAATCTCAATTTTTTTTAGCCCTTATATGTATAGTCTAAATTATCTTTCTTTTTTCTTCTCTCACAAAGTTACGTCATCTTACTTTTACATTTGAATCATCATTAATCTCTATTTTTTTAAGCCATTAGATGTATGGTCTAAATTATCTTCATTCTTTTATTCTCTCATAAAGTCATATCATCTTACTTTTATCATCTTACTTTTACATTTGAATCATCATTCTACGTACTATTTAAATTTAAATCGCATCAACTTATGTAAACTTATGTTTATGTAAGCTTACGTTGTTTAAAACTATCTTACGCACTATCTTTTACTTATTATTATCATATTAAACTTCTGCGGCAACACTTGGGGTTTCACCTAGTAGTTTTATATTAATATATATTATAGGCACACCTCTCATACACATATTTTGGAGGCCATGCTGCAGTTGGTTACAAATCTATAGTATATTTTTCTTCTCTCTCCTTTACTCTCTCCTCCATCCGTGCTTATAGCTCACATATAGCATGTTATTGTAGTTGCTCCTAGTATGCAATCTACTACTCTTTTCCAACTTTTATTCCCTCATTTTTCGAGCACATGTTTTCCGAGTCATTAAACGGTGCGTTTTAAAAAAAATCTATACAAAATTCTTTTAAAAAGTTTATATTTAATCTATTTTTAAGTTCTAAAGCGGATACTTAATTAATCATACGCTAATTCATCGTGTATTTTTCCATACCAGAGAAAAGGTTAAACCCAAACGAACACAGACGTGGTTCAGGTTACAAGCTCCGGATCCAAGCTATCAAATCCTTGAATTTTGGAGCTGACACGTGACAGTGAGATCCTATAGCTGCGGAGTGATCAAAGTCTCATTTGATTGGTTTACTAACTCCGGACAGTTGAAGATCGATCGGCCATCGAGCATGTGTTTCTATTGGCATCACGCATCACCACGACGACGACGACGACAGGAACCAACATCGGCCGGTTCGAGCGGTCCCGTTCGCAGCCCCAACACAGTGTATCACCGGCGATGCCGACGAATAGTATCATGGGCCCCCAGACTCGAGGGAACAGTGCCGAAAACGAAGCCCTACCTGAATCCACAGCCCATCATCCAAATACTCGAATTAAATCAATCTACTTGCTTTGGTTTGGTGTCCACATACCATCCAAAGTTATGGCTGAGTTCGGGTCGCACGAAAAACGGTGTTAACCCATTAACATGTGATTAACTAAGTGTTAGTCTAAAAAATTGAAAAATGGATTAATATGATCGGTAACCGCGACCGTCGATATTTGAACAAAGGGGTCCATCTATTCGAAGGAACTCACATGAAAAAAAAAATCTATTCGAACGAACATCCTTGGCCAATCAATCCTTTTTCCTTTCGGGGACCATCCATATATGTCCCTTTTTGGCCGTCCACAATTGTACGTTAAGTACGAAGCTCAAGCTGTGGCCATGAAGAATCTCAACAATTGTGGTCACAATCATCCTCACGAGAGTACATTAGTATTTTGCTGTTGCGGTGAGGCTGAATAGGAAATTTATGTTACTCCTTGATTATAAGGACGCAAGTGGGTCAACCCGTGAACCCACTTATATAGAATACTTCATCCGTTTCACAATGTAAGTCACATTACTTACATTGTGAAACGGAGGGAGTAATTAAGTAGGTTGACGTGTGGGTTACCCGCTTATATTTATGCTATAAGTGAATTGGTCGGTCGATCCATTTGCAGTTTTACCCGATGGCTTTGGAGATGTTGAATCTTGCTTGTATCTGTTGGAATTCTGCTCTTACTACCTTGAGCAACATCTGCCCTGAAGTGAAAAGTGAATAAAAGAACACTCAAACGATGTCAGTTTTGGTCCGTTCTCAGCTAGCTGACCACATTTATTGGTTTTCGGTGACTGATTCCTTCCCACAGCGATTTGATCTTTACGCAAACTAAGACCTTTTGGATTTTGGAAAGCAGAGTTTTCCTTTTTTTTTTCTTTTTTTTTTTTGCCAGAATTGAACCTAGAACCTTTTTCCTATGAAATTCATGCACTTAGGCTATGCTGCATTTGTGATGCAGGATCTAATCAGTTACGAGAATTGAGAATCTTTACTGACCTTAGAATGCTTTTCATAAAAGTTTTGAATTCAAAGTAGAAATAAACCAGTGCCAAACGTAGTCTAGGTGTGATGAACAAATAAATTCTTTATTACTTTCACTTTTATTTCAGAATGAAGAGGAACGATGTCTCCTTCTGACCATCATTCCCTCACAGGGGGCAACATCGATGTACATATTCGAAGAACAAAAAAGAAGGAAATAAAAAATAAAAGGACAAAAAAAGAAGGGTGTGAGTGAGATCAACGGACCTCTGATCATATGGATCCTACCACAATCACAAACAGATAAGGTCGACATGATCAATTTATCTACGATACAGCGGCACGGAGAAGGAGCAGACGGAGTCATCAGATCGCCACAAATCCATCCCTCACATTATCCCATCATCATCATCTTCTTCAGATAGGGCCCCTCCCCTATCTCATCCTGATAAACCAAGAAACCTGTATGATCTGGAACCATTGGTGGTGTGTGCTTTGTATGTAGTATGTACTATGTACATTTGGCGATTGGGGGTGAGCAGGATATTGTCAGCCATGTAGCAATGTGGATGCAGATGGGGACGACAATGTCATTAGCAACAATGCAGCCTCCTCCACACCCATCAGAAGCCTCCTTTTCGGAACAACCTGCAAGTTGCTGCTGCTATTTCCACTCCCACTGTTGCAGTTGTTGCTGTTGCTGTTACTGTCTTTTACTTCAGGTATTACCTCACCATGCTCCTGCTTCTGTGGCTGGTTCAGGTCCAGCCCAAGATCCTGCCTCCTCTTCTTCCGGTACCGGATTCCGCAAGCGTTGCATAGAGACTGCGATAAGAAATTGAAAAATAAGGATCAACGGATCGACGCATCTGAATTTATTATTGCAAAAGGGATAACATTAAGAATCACCTTTCTGCCAATTATTGGCTATCTAGTTACTTTATTTCCTTAGTGCTACACGTGCTTTTGTGCCTAATGTTGCTACGGGATGGAATTGAGGAAAACATTAAGGGTGGAAATGAAAAATATTCCAATTAGAGAATCGAAATGGATAAAGCATCTCTCTCTCTCTCTCTCTCTCCATGTACACAATTGGTTTGGTGGTTAGCTCTGTTGCAAGGAACAGCTCAACTAACCAACAAGTTGCAACCCAGCTGAATGGAGAGAAATGTCAACAAGATTAGTCATGATAGATTGGACCAAAACAAGAGGTCACCACCACCCCCTGTGCTAAATGCCTAAATCCAACAAGACATCAAGTAAGCACAGACTGTCAACAGAAAACTTGATATTTTCTCGGAGTCTATTTCAAGTATATATATCATTGTGCCACTAAAAGGGGACTTGAGGAAACTTTCGAAAGCGTGTTTGCGCTAATGATCTTGTTGACAGCGCATTGATTAAGAAGCTAAACAAACTGAAGGCCAGGGGCAGGTTAGATATGGACATATGGTGGAATGTGGTAGGAACTTTCTCCTAATGCAATGTACTTAGTTCTCTAGCTGTCTATGATTAAAGTGAAGGGCACAAGATAGCCTCTTTGACTCGGTCTTTGCAGCTCATATATGTTTCCATTGGATCATCCAACATTAGAATCTTAGCGGTACTACTCAAGTGCACCAAAAATCAGTTTAGCATTCTCTAAAAGCATCTGCTAATTATTTTTTACCAAAATACAGAAAAAAGATTAGCATTTCCCGATTAGAACAGATTGCACTAAAGAAAATAAATACCTGTTAGTCAAAAAAATAAATAAATAAATAAATACCTGATAAAAATCCACAAAATAAAGATCATGACGTCCCTAAACATCCATATTTAATGGATCAAAACTTCGCTAGGACAAAGTAAAAGTTACTAATAGATGAGATGATCGACCATGTAGCACAGATTGACAGCATGACACGAACAAACGGAACAATCATTTGCACCACAAGAGCAGAGATAAAAATTAATATGCATGTATATACAAGTACAACTACTACGTCATGATCATGTAATCGATCGGCAGTCCAGAATTAATCCCCAATCAATCAATCTGCCTGACTCTGATCATAACGATGATGAACACAGTAACCGAAGAGGAAAGCCAAGGGAAGCGATCGATCGATCGATCGATCAAGAACTCACCCTGGGGCCGGTCGGGCCGCTGCGCCACATGGGCGTGGTGGTGGCGCGGCATTCGACGCAGCTCCTCCTCCCTTCCTCCGCCACGCCGATCCCCACCACCTACATGATGATCACCAACCAAGAAAAAATTGAACGAGAAATTGATCGAGCCCAGAACACACAAACCCAAAACTCAGATTACACAAGCTAGGGAAACAACGGAGAGAGCCGCACGCGCGCACGCACGCACCTTCCGATCGGTGGAGCCCATCCGGATTAACACAGCGTTGGTTGGAGAAGAGAATCGTTCGTATTTTTTCTCTAGTTCTTGCTTCTGTGTTGTTGATGAAGCGTGTAGTAGAGGAGGAGGAGGAGGAGAGAGTAGTTGTGGAGGAAGAAGACGAGAGAAGGAGCAGGAGAAAGGTAGAGGCTTAGGCGGTGGAGAGGTGAGGTGAGGAAGACGTATGTACGCCGCGCGGCGCGCGGGATAGCGGAGGAGGTGACGTGGCGTTGGCGGATGGACAAGGGAAGATATGGCTGCGATTCTGGTTTCGTTTCCGTTTGGATGGTAATAAAAAGATTTTGTAACATTGGCGGCGGAGGGAGGCCGCTTTCTCGGCAAATCTCGGGAGCACTTTCTGCTGGATTTTCAAGCTAAATTTTAGCCATCAAAATTTTCTTAAATTTAACGTGACATGTTAAATTTAACTTTTTAAACACAATACATATAGAGACGGACGCAGTGGTTGCTGGAGGAAGTCAAGTCCCCCTACTCTGCTGAATTACCAGTGAGAACATGAGAACAGGGGAGAGGGGAGACGAAAGAAAAGGGAGAGAAGGAAGCGTAATAGGGCCTAATTCTGGATCCGTCCTAAATATATGATTATATAAACATGTTTCTTTACTTAAAGAAAATGTTTTACCAGTGTTAAATATATAGGTCACATTTGGGTCCTTGAACGAGTCAACTTTGGAATAAAGGATCAAGATTTTGATGTTGGTAATGTTATTCAATGCTAAATGCTTACAGCAACAATTAAAGACACTAGCAGAATATTGCCACGTGATCGGGAACCTTTGCAAAAGAAAAGAAAAATTAAACCCCCCCTCTGTTATGTAAGCATCTCGTGTGGATGCTCAAATGGTTACTTGATCAATTGATTGATGACGTTTAGAGCAAGTTTAATAGTATAGCCAATTATTAGCTCTAATCCATCTATAGGCAATCTAATAGCTCATTTATATAATAGTTATATACTACACTATTAATATCTGGTCCCATCTATCATATACACACTACGTCTTAGAGTCCGTGCTACAGCTGGCTACAAACCTGTAGTCCGCTGCTCTTCTTTCTCCTTATTTATCTTCTTAAAATATATTTGTAGCTGACTTATAGCCTGCTATTGTACCTGCTCTTGTAATAACAAAGCATCGAGTGCCTCCATAACCAATGATGACGTAAGATTAGCAGTCACGTTCACATAAGCAGAGAATCAGAGATGACAAGCAGTAAAAGGGAAAATTAAAGCACGAGTTCAAGTCCCTAGCTTATCTGTTTCTCGTTTGCTGTCATCAAAACCAACTCTTTCTTCTGCTTCTCAGTTAATCTAGTACTAACTACTTTTCTTACAAAATCGAAGTGGTCATAAAGTGTAGAACAACACATAAGCAACCACCGAAATGGATAAATCAAAGATGACGTCATGGCTTACCCGTCATCACAGCGGCTTTGTGTATCACGATTCACGGGCAACCTTTTTCTCCTGCAGTGTACAGAGGTCAAAATCGCCGTCAGGAACAAAGCAAAACGTCACTTTGTTCCTCAAAATGGTTTTGTGCTGAAATTAACAGTGGCATGCTTCATCCAACGTAGTATTTATTTGTGGAGTGAATGCTGATTCGTCTTGAATTCTGAAGGGTATTAATTCAGATATTCAACTCAGAAATTATTAACTTGACGTTTTCTATTTCATCCTACTAGTTTACAACTCGGAAATTATCCAAAGCAACCAACAACTAAAAACGGCTAGATGCATTCACATAACTTTGCAAGACCGTCTTTAGGGGTCACTTATGAGAAGAAATAATCCAAAGGTGTCTACATGATCAAGATATCGCTGACAAGTTGATCGATATCTCGTGGTAAGGTTAAGAATATATAGTGCGCTCCAAATAGGCTATTAATCAATCTATCATGCTTCAAAAGAAACTTTACATTCAGTTTAAAAAGAACAAAAAAAAAGAAACTTTGCGTTGAAGCCCTTGAAAAGGTAATCAACCAAAAAAGGTATGTATATTTCCCATCAAACTATAAAATCGTCGACAAAATTGTATCTTTCATTTGTAAAGCTCATGGCTGGACATCTAGACTTCTCTATCATTTGTACCACCTGTAGTATTATGTGGCGCTCGAATATTCTCCACTTCTATTTATTTAATTATTTATTTATATCTCTTCCATTTCTTGTGTGCTAAGTTGGGTTTTAGTCAACTCAACTACTATTTCCTTGACTGTTCCATGAAAAATACAAGAGCTTAAAACTGTATAGTACACTTCTTTTTTCACGAGAGCATGCTTCCTCGCTTTTTCATCAACGTTATACTCACTAGTCAACTACTGCACCAACTCCGTTGCATCACATTCCATGAAGACCACAAAAGCTTATGTAAGCATCCCTTCAATGTTTTCCAATGTTTTGCGGCACAAATTCTTCCCAACAATAATCACCCAAAAAAGAATAAAATTGTACTATAAGTACTCACTTTCCTGGCAAAACAATCATCCACCAAAAAGTAAAAAAAAAAGGAAGAAGATTGTGTTGTCAACTTCACAGATAGCCAAACAAAGGTTGTACATGAGATTAGCTCTCAGCCAGATATTTGCATAGAAGCAGCTAGTGTCCCAGAGGATAAGGGGATAGGTAAACATCCACATTAGAGTGAAGCTTAACCATAAACTAAACAAAGGCTAAACAACAAGCTCCATCAGGACCACCAGGCCCACTAGAACTCTCAACTCTCAGGTGTAAAATATGCGAGAAAAAAAGCTGAAAAGTTGTTCTGGTGGTGGTACGGCCTTTTGAGAGGGAAAATCCACTGCAATCCAAGGCTCACCCAGCTGTCGACCAGCTGCTCATGCATAGATATGTGTTGTGCACTAATGATTTGTGTAGGATGGGTTTCAACTTTGTAAATTCTGTGATGATTGGTTAGGGAGAAAGAAGGTTATGAGATGAAGGCCAATAATGGGGGCACCGTACCAAACGCAGTAGGGCAGCACAGACAAAGTACTCCAAACTGGACCTGGAGCTAGCACACAATTGACAATTGCATGCGCATCATGAACAGCTGAACAATTGCCCCCCTTGGCGCACAAGAATCTTCGGCTAGGGAGCCAGGCATGAATCATGATTGCTGCAATGAATTAAAAATATGGTAGTAGTAAAAGAGACAGATGTCACATCTAATTTTAGCTACTTCCTCCGTTTCATTTTAGCATTTATATTGATGCTAATGAATGTAGATAGATATATGTCTAGATTCATTAATATTAATATGAATGTGATAAATGCTAGAATGACTTACATTGTAAAACGGAGGGAGTATTTATTAATGAAGAGGTAACATGTATAATAAATTACATCTATGCTAATTCTAGTGCACTAATCCCAATAGTTTTATTTTATTTGTTTGCTCAATCTTGTCTCCCCCTTTCTCTATTTTTAAGTTTGTGTGAAGATTGTCTAACTCCTCTCTCTCTCTCTCTCTCCTCTTCTCTCCACCTCATCAATGTGCTATTTTGAGGCAAGTGTTTAGGTGTGCATAGTACTTGCTCTGAGACGGCAGCTTCTCTTCTCCCTTACACGAGGCTATTAAGCGAGCGCTGCAGTGATTTCTAACAGAGTGGCAGGCACAGAAAAAGAATTGCAGAACAGCAGAAAGCAGTCACACTTCAGACTTGTATCGAACAACATTCTTGTTTCTAACTTCCAATCGAGGGCCTCGAGGCATCGGCACAGGCATAATCAGGCCAGTCGATTCTGTACTATCAGTTCCAACCCAATCCACATAAAGGTCAATGCTTAGCAAAAGAAGTCAGAACCCACATTCAGAAGTCAGAACCCACATTCAGACGTGGTAGATCGCCAGATAGATAGTGGTGAGTAAGAAAAAACAACAGTGCAGACAAAATTGTGTTCCAGCGACGGGACTCGTAAGAATTCCAAAACCCACTGGGTTCTCATGATTAACAACAATGTAAACTATGGCTTTACAGCTTCCAAGTATTTTTGTCTTTTCCCTTTTTTTTTTACCTCCACAGACATACCAGCTTACGCTACTGAAAGGAAGGTAAAAGTAATAGCTAACCCGACAACACAAGCAAGAGTATGCCCTTCCCCGACCGACCAATTTCCAGTACCCACCCCCTTGTGTGGAGAACCATAATCCATATGAACCAACCGCTATACACAAGACACCCGAACCACACAAAAGCAATGTACCTAATTGCCATACCCTGACCTTGCTCTTATCGGACGAACCCTGACTGCTGCCTCATAACAAGTTAGCAGGACCAAACCATGACTCGGATAACTTGACTCTCCGATTCTGGAAAGCCCCCTGAACAGACAGCTACGGTGCATTTCCATCCAAATCGGGCACTGTTCAAAAAGAAAAAAATAAAGTCATAAGAACTCCAATGAGTCAATGACTGACCAGTTCCGACCATTAGTGAATAGAAAGAAATTTACCTTCACCGAAACTGCCAAACTGAAACATTTCATTGTCAGATTCAGATTCACAGTTCCAACCATTAGTGAATAGAAATTTACCTTTACCGAAACTGCCAAACTGAAACATTTCATTGTCAGATTCAGATTCAGATACAGATGGAATAAGAAAGGGCTGTTGGTCATCCTCCTGCACCCAGTATGACTCAAGCACATAAACTGCCTTATTATATATCTCAACATTGTCATGGTTCTGGAGATCCTCAATTTTGTCCAAGCCATCAGCTTCATCAACCATCGGCACAAATATGTTCATATTACAAGCCCCCAAGTTCTTCTTAGCCTCCCCAACCCTCAAGATATTATCAAGGGCCTCCAAACAAGTTAACACTGTTTTGGAATCTTGGTGAACAAGTAAATCACAAAGCGGCTTGATGCAACCCTGACTAACAAGATACCTGGTAAACAAATGATGTGTCGTTAAGAAGTTGCTAATTTAGTTGCACAGAAATGAGCAAAAGCACATATAAATAATTGTCATCAAGCTTTTCATACTCTATCTGATTGAATGTCCCACCAGATGTGGCATTAGAAATTGCCCAAACAGCCTCCTTTTTGACATCAAACTCAGCATGTTGCAACAGATGCAATAGAGGAGCAATTATGTTTGAATCGATCACAGCCTACAAGCAAATTTCTGAATGTTACTAATGGATAGGTATACCTTTCAAGATACTACTTAGTGCTTTTCAAAAAATGAAGGCTTCCCAACAAGGGGATATATTCTAGAGCTGCAAATGACACGATTACTATAAGCATATTTCTCATGTTTTTTTCATTGGTGAAGCTACAAACCTGAATCTGCTCTTTAGTTCCAGCTGTGATGTTGGAGATTGTCCAGCAAGCTTCTCTCTTGACGCTTTTCTTTTGAGTTGTTGTCAAAAGATTGAAAAGACAGGGAAGTGCTTGGGGATGACCAACAATACACTGTGGTAGGGAGAAGAAACATTAAGGAAGGATAAAACAAAAACTAATTAATCAGTAGTAGATGTGCATAACATGACACAATATACAGGCAAGGCTGCTGCAGTAGTATTAACATTAATATTGTAAACTGAGCACTGCAAATATAAACAGAAAAATGTGGACATTATTTCCTAGTAACAGACACCGCTACTATGTGCAAGCATATGGATGGCAGGGATGCATGTGTTGGGCAAACTAACATTAACCTCTCAGTGTACTGTACAGATTTCTCTACTCAAAGGACTACTACTTTGATCAAACATCAGTAGTAATGGAGTAACCTAGTGAGAAGGACTTAAAAGCAGATTTTTCACAGCAGAATTCAACCAAACACCAATGACATCATTACCATTAATAAATGTTCTTGTATGCACAATTGCACTAAAATGTTCTTGTATGAACAAAGAGAATTATGACATTTAAAAAAGAATAAATTCCCCATTTACCATTGCAATTTAAGCACTCAGGTTTGCGAGTATTTATGATAGGTTTGACAAGGCAAGCAGTTTGCAAGGGAAATATGATTTTCTCAAATTTCAGGGATGCACATCAGCAATATTAAAGTCTGGAATTACCAGATGAAACATTGGATCATAGTGAAAATGAACATGTTACGAATTTAAAAAATGAGGATACAACCAAATGAAAAATAAATGCTCCTCTGTGCTCAGATAGTTAACACCAATTTGAGCATCAGTTTTCTCATAAAGAATTTTTTAACTATGTATCTATTGGTATAAATTTTATACAAAATCAAAATATGCCTTAAAGCAGTGCATGGAGGGGCTAATAACCAGAAGGACTAGTTCCTACAGCATAACAGAAAGAGTAGATGTAGAAAACCTACAGATATTTTGGCAAAATTTTCGCAAAACCACATATGTAAGGCACAATATTGCAACACTAGCAATTTAGAATGAGAGCTATAAAAACAGAAATTTAAGCATGGTATACCAAAACTACAGATTTCATTTCAAAGTCCCATTAGGACAACATCATAAGATCTAACTCCTTAATTCAGCAATTTGAAGTAAATTGAATGCTAAATCTATAATTTCATGATACCATGCTTAAAGTCAGCACTAAATCTGTGGTTCCATAGTATTGTGGATTAAATCCGTAGTTTTGCAAATAATTTTGTCCAGTATCTGCAGTTTTGGTTAATTTACTCTGACAGGAGAAGTGACACAGTAGATAGACAACAAATGTATCAGGAGATATGGTTAATACAATTCTAAGGTAAAATGCTATTTAATCATGCAACACAGAGTATGATGTTTTTCATAAAAGTTAACAAGTTAACTGAAAATCAGCCAAAGGTTCAAATATAAACACATCTGACCATATATTTCGTATGCAGTTTTTGAGAACTTAAGAATGAAGTAGTTAGCAGCTCAACAAAGATTCACAAAAGATAAAACCCAAGTTAGAAAAGAGAAAAAAGAACCTGGGTCTGCGCATCATCCCCAGTTACAATGTTGCCAACCGTGCGGAGAGCAGGAATGAGCACCACAGGTGAAGGATGGCTGAATCAATATGTAGTTGTTCATGTATCAGTCCTCGAATTTAGATCTATGAAATGAAAAAACAGAACAAAAAAGAAAACAAACTTACCTAAGGAGCTCAACAAGCCAATCACACACGCCAGTTTCAATCACAGCTTGTATATTGTCATTAGAACCATCTGACAGGTAAGAGAGTGCCCAACATGAGTCCGTTAGGATCTCCTCATCTTGAGAGAGGATGAGCTCCCGCAGCACTGGAAGCGCAGGTTCAACCTAATAAATTTTCAGACCAAAAAATCAATCAGAAAAAGGAAACAACATATGAAATCAGTACTACATTAGAGGCACCATCATACATGCTTGAAGTCAGGCTGCGGCTTGCCACGGCAGAAGTTAGAAAGGGTCCAGGCACTGTTCCTCAGCATCGAGAGTTTAGCATGCTCATTGAGCTGCTGCAGTAGCGGTAACATTGCACCATGCATAAGAACCAGGTTACGGCATTTTGTGGAATCCCCAGCCACATTTCCCAGGGCCCAGACAGCCTGAAAATTCAAAACAAAATAACTCTGTTAAACTTCCCTATATGATACCAACCATATGATAGGTATAAGAATTCAGATGTTCAAACTTAGATTATCAATTGCTTCCATGCCTGTTCACGGACATCCTCTCTTGGTGAGCTGAGGAGCTTCACAAAGATGGGCACAGCACCATGTTCAATAACTGCCATTGTGTTGGCTGCTGTTCCTGAAGCAATATTGGTGAGAGCCCATGCTGCCTCAAACTGAAGCCACAGAAAAAAGATAAGACTCAGAGAACAGCTAGTGATTAACATAGTAAGTAATAATAATATAAAGTGGCATGCCTGCATTGTTAGGTTTGAGGAGCAACGGTAATGTAGTTTTCAGTTTTCCAACAAGCAATCAATTTGCTTTGCTCACTCGTGGCTTATACTATGTTCTTAGCTGTAATGGAACTGTTGATATGCTGTAATAGATACAAACCTGGAGCTGGGGGTACTCCTCCCTGGTGAGGAATTCCACAAAGCGAGGGAGCACTCCAGATCTAATCACCTCATCAATTGGAGGACAATGGTCTGAAACATTTATTTACTCATAAACTATAGCAGCTCACGGGAATAGTTAACATAAATTTCAAGTGCAGCTTCAGCATTGAAATCAAATAGCATATAAAATTAAACAAAGATTCCTGAGCCACAATGATTAATTGCAGTAGGAGTTTACAAAACCAAGGGAGTTTTGCTATAATTTTGTTTACGAAAATGCTATACACACGACAGATTTGTAGGACTATCGTACAACTAGTCAACGCCGTCATCTGTGAGCGTGAGCTGTTTAACTTAGTGGGCTGTGATTGTTGGGCCTTTTAAAAGCCCAACTCCAGCCGAAGCTCCATATTCCAGCGTCGATTCCTCTTCTCGATATTACTCTATACACAGCCGTGACTTTTCATCTTCTACATTTGCTTTCTCACCCTAAACCCTCATTCTAATCCCCTTTGTCTCCTATCCATACCAATCAGTTAAGATTAATCAGAAAAATTTTTTTGCGGCAACCACAACAGAGTATTCAGGTTGAAGCTAACAGAAGGTATTTTAGGCTCTGATTTTCTAGGCCCCATGAACAATTCTATTAATCTTTTATCTCAATTCGTTTTTCAACATCTCTTGTTTTTTCATGCTTGCAAACATATACATGGCCATATTTGATTTTTCAACTGATTTTGGCCATGAATATGGAAATTGAAGCCGTGGTGCCTTGCTTTTCTATCAAGTCTGGTCAATCATTTTTTGCTTGCATGTTATGGCTTTTTTTAGAGGACTTGCATGTTATGGCTGTGAAAATATATTGGTTTCACATCCTGAAGGCCTAAACTAATCTAACATCTGGAGTGAATCATTTTAATAGCAACCTAAGCTATATCGATACATGTCTCAGCCGGACTAGCCTCTGGCCTCAGTGTACAGAAAGCGCAGTACGCAAGCAAACAACAACGAGGCCCAGTGACGCGTAGTCATATCTGACACCGTCATTGCTCGTTTTTTCCGCCGTTTCAGTCGTACATGCGTCGGACACATGCGTCGGGCGTATAGCAAAGTTGTTTTGTTTAAGCACAGCTTCAGCAATGAAACTAATCAGCATGAACATTGGACAAAAATTCCATGAGCCACGATGATTAATTGCACAATAATAAGTTTACAAAACCAGGAGAGTTTCGCTACAATTTTGTTTTAAGCGCAACCTCAGCAATGAAGTCAATCAGCATGAACATTGAACAAAAATTCCATGAGCCACGATGATCGATTGCAGTACGATTTTACAAAAGCATGATAGTTTCGCTACAATTTCGTCAAAACAAAAGGGAGCAATTCAAATTGGGGCGGGGATTTTGGTGGGGTGGGGGGTGGGGGGGGGGGCAAATAGCAACACGCACCGACAGAGAGCAGCTTCCTGAACTGCGTGGTCGACTCCAACTGCATGCTGCTGTCATCCGAGTACAACCCCTGCACCATCATCGGCAGGCTCTCCAACTTCGCAGACACAAACAGCAAAAATGATCAGGAAAAACCACGAGAAAATCCCCCGACGGAAGGCTCCCACCCACGCACCGAGGCCCCGGACCCCCACCCCGAACCTAACCTTCTTCTCGATGGCCGACGAGTGCGCCGCCTGCGGCAACCCCTCGGCGGCGGCGGTGGCCGTGGGGCGCCGCCTCTTCTCCTTGAGGGCGCGATCGCGGTCGGCCTTGCGGAGTATCACGGTGATGTCCTCCCGCCGCCGCCGCCCCTCCGCCGCGTCCATCGACGCCTTGTAGCCCTTCTGGCGGATCCCCATCCGCTCGCTCGGCCGGAGCGACATCGCCGACGCGCCTCGCCGAGGTTCCCCAAGCCCTAGAGAAAAACCCTAGTCGAATGGGAGGGGAGAGGTGGGGAGATTCGGGGTTCCCGTGTTGTGGGGGGGGCTTCGAAACAGGGGAGAGGAGGCGGTTGCTGTTGGGTGCCATGGATTTTTATTGACGCGCGTAGAACGATCGACTTCCTTTTGACGCAACGGGCGGAAAATCTGTCGTCCTTTTTCCCTCGCTCAATCCCCTCTTTTTGCGAGTATTAAAAGACTAATTACAAAACAAGTTTACACAGATCAAGGCTAATTTGCGAACAATCTATTAAAACTAATTAATCCATGATTAGCACCTATTCATTGTACCACTATATTATCAAATAATAGAAGAGTAATTAGGTATAATATATTCGTCTCGCAAATTAGCCTCCATCTGTATATTCTGTTTTGTTCAAACATCCGATGTGATAGGGACTAAAGTTTCCTTGTATCCAAATTACCCCTTAAACTCATCTTCAAATCTCTCATTTTATGAGAGCGTTTTACCTATCTCCACACTTATTTTATGTGGAGCTAAATCATTTTATGAGAGCGCTTTACACATCTCCACTTTTATTTTAGATGGAGCTGAAACTGTTTGGCTGAGCTCCAACCACAGAAGAAATGGAGCTGAAGCTGAAACTGTGTCAAACAAACCTTACTTGTCCTGATGATTTCTCACTTGGCAGATAGGCACTGAGTTTCAATTGCTGATGGGATTAACGTGAAAGCTTCTTGAGGTTATAAGGCTGTGTTCGCGGTAGGTTAAGCTGGGAACTTTCCCTCCAAACACGCAAAACGAAATGGTTCATTATCACATGATTAATTCAGTATTAGTTATTTTCTTCTTGAAAAATGGATTAATATGATTTAATTTTTAAACCAAATTTCATATAGAAACCTTTTTAAAAAACGTACCGTTTAATAGTTTGGAAAGTGTACGCACGGAAAACGAAGGAGGTGAAGTTGGGAACTCAAATTACCGAACGCAGCCAAAGCTGGGTATATATAATTTTTAAAAGAGGTTTTATATGGTGGTGTTTGGGAAGGAGAAACTAAACTTTAGTCCCTCTCACAAAAATTTTAGTCCCTCCCATAGGGACTTTTGCTTTTGTGAGAGAGACTAAAGTTTAGGTGGTGTTTAGATCCAGGGACTTAACTTTAGTCCCTGTCTTTAGACACTAATTTAGAGTATTAAATATAGACTACTTACAAAACTAATTACATAAATAAAAGCTAATTCACGAGACAAATTTTTTAAGCCTAATTAATCTATAATTAGAGAATGTTTACTGTAGCATCACATAGGCTAATCATGGATTAATTAGGCTCATTAGATTCGTCTCGCAAATTAGTCCAAGATTATGGATGGGTTTTATTAATAGTCTACGTTTAATATTTATAATTAATTTTCAAACATCCGATGTGATAGGGACTTAAAAGTTTTAGTCCCATCTATACAGGGCCTCAGTCCCTTCTTTCCAAACACCACCTATATAAATATACTGGAAATCTATTTAACTTTATACTCTAGTGCTCGATCTGTTTTTTTTTTACTTTTCCAACTCATCTCTCTTCTTTTTTCGCAAACTTGTCCTAAACTATGTGTTTTTTACAAAAGTTTTTTTATAAAAAAATTACTTTAAAAATCATTTTTTTTTCATTTTTTTTAGAAAACTAATACTTAATTACTCATACGTTAATGAATCGTTTTACGTGCGTGAGAGATTGGTTTCCAACAACTATCTAAAAAGCACAGGCTAAACTTGCTATAATAGGCGTCATGCTTAGGCTGAAATTGTATATGTGTGCGCTACCACTAACCATATACGGATGGATAATTTGAACCTCATGATGTAATCCTATCTTTCTATAAAATTAAGCCTACTACATTCTAAAGTTTAACATATAAAGATGCCACATCATCCACTAACATTTACTACATCTCAAATCTCATGCAAGCATGCTAATTTAAGTTTTAGAGCTTTAAAACACAAGCATGTTAATTAAATTATCACCCCACATAATTCACATAATATTTCAATATATCTCTCCATCACTTTTTATAATATCTTATATGCCTATATAGTTCATCCTCACTTAAATTTAAGAGCTTTAAAAAAATCCAAGCATATTAAATCATCATTCCACGTAATCTCAAAATATTTCAATATATCTCTCCATCATTATGTATAATACTTTGTATCTATATACCTATACAATTCATTCTCACTTAGTTAATGTTATTTCTATCTTCTCTCATTTAGCCATATCATCTCAATTGTTTCAAGCTTTCAAATGATTAATCTATGGTTGGAATTATCTCCCTCATTTTCTTCTCTCATAAAGCCACATCATATTACTTTTAAATTTGGGTCATCATTCTATATACTATTTAAATTATGATAAACAACATCAACTTATGCAAGTTTCTATCGTCTAGATATCTTACACATTATTTCTATTTCTTATTATCATACCAAACTCCCGCAGCAACGCGCGGGGTTTCACGTAGTATTGATAAATTAGAATTACGTTTGGATGACTTAGAATTATGTGTGTGTGTGTGTGCGCGCGCGCGTGTGTGTGTGACTTGTGAGGGAGAATAGTAATACTCTCGAGAGTAAGACTATTTAACGTAGAGCAGCTATTGTACGCCCTGTCTCCCATAGTTCAAAAACCCATTTGTAGACTCGGTCAGATAAGGTGAACATCGTCTGGCCCTTCTCCCAATTGAGCCTCCTTCCATTCCTTTAGTTCATCTCCATGAAAACTGATCTATATGCTTAGTGTTTGCAGTATTTTCGCAGCAAGGCCCCCTTTGATTCCTACAGTGATTCCTTAAAAAAGGCCCCTTTGATTATTGGATTGGCAAAAAAGATTTACATAGAATTCGAATTCCTATGAAGTGTTTCTTGCATGTCCCTTTGTAATTCATAAGAAAACGAAAGAAACTTTCCATATATGGTTGTATTTCTATGCTTCACTTTCACAGCAAAATCACCAAGAGTTCTTACCTCTTTGTAAAACTTTCCAATGTTTTTCCTACTACTCCGTTCCATTTTAAGTGCAGTTGTGAGTTTTCGTGTCCAACGTTTGACCGTCCATGTTATTTGAAAAAAAATATAATTTTTTTTAAAAAAATTAGTCACACATAAAGTATTATTCATGTTTTATCATCTAATAATAATAAAAATACTAATCATAAATTTTTTTCAAATAAGACGGACGGTTAAACATTGGACATAAGCAGTGTAAAACAATAGTCTTTCTAGGATGGAGGCAGTATGACACTACCAAAGGGCTTCTATATTTTTCTCCTGTGTTTCAAAACACATGTTCTTTTTACCATTGGTCACATCTTTTTTACTGCTTTTTAGAACAAGACAATCGAAAACCGATAGAAAAATATATCAATTATAGCGAGAGATTTCGTCTTTTAGAGTTGATGGTACCGAACATGAGCATGAGAGTTGAGGAAAGGCCAAGTGTGGGTGACAATAGCGGACATGGGGATGACCCTGCAAGCCGCGCTTGTCCCGTAGGCACACTAAGACAGGTGATGGGAGCACGTGTCGCGATGGAATAGAGAAGACAAGGGAAAAGCCATTCCATTCCATGTCAATGGCGTCATCCTGTCCTCGGTTCGTGTTTCCAGCGTTCTCACCATGCCTAGGATCTCCTCCATCGCTTTTGCTGCTGCATCATCCACTTCAACTTCAAGTTCTAATCCAGTGGTCAACATCCAAGCAGACCTCGAGAAGGGTAAGAAAACCTGGTTTTATTCTTGGTGCTAGAACATTACAAGGGGAAACATTTTATTACAAGTGAGAAAAAAACACAAAACATCAAAATAGGCCCTCACTCTATGACTCTAAGAACAAAAAAGAGGAAAATAAAGGTACTAGCTCATTATAGTCTAGTACACATACATGCACACAACAATGTAAATTATTTCATCACACACATAGACTAGCTAGCTAGCTAGCACATTCAGACCGAAGCAAAGACATTAATATACTCCCTGTGACATGAGAAAACAAACATAAGTTACTTGCAGCTAGCTAGCTCACTTGATTCCATCCATGTACTAGTTAATCAACAAAACAACATCAATCACGCTGAATATCGACTTCACTACGATGGACGATATGGAAAGCGTGGCCTTCCTTCATAGGGAGATCATAGCAATCGTCAGATTCATCACGAGGACTAAAATTTGTGATTTGAATCCTTTTCATCCTGGAGTCACCGCAGTCATTTTTGGCCATGAGTAACCAAGCAAAGGTGATGAGCTCCCCTCCACTGGCCAGTTGTTCCACGTGAAGCTCCGCCCTTGACTTGCCGGCGGAATAGAGGAGGACTCTCACCCACATTTCGACCAGCTCGTCAAGTACCCCATCTCCTTCAGGCTGGTCACCCACTAGTAACGAGTCATGGATATTTTTGTAATGCTCAACATCAGAGATGTCATTAGTCCTCCTCTGGAACATACGTTCCGCAGTTTTAATCGAGGATATTGCACTGGTATTGAGTGGAAGCATGGAAGGGTGGTTAACCAAAAGATATATCATATAGTTTGACAGTTTTCTGCAGACATCCACCAAGGAATGATTCCCAGGGTATTGCCTGAGGAAAACCTCTGTGACCATATGCATCATGAGAAGAGCAGTACCAAAGTCTGCGGTGAGAACATCTTGTATCTGTTCCAGGAATGAGCCAACATATCTCCATTCTAGGTATTCTGTATCCTGACCATCGACTTCATTCATTAAGCCATAAAGGCCAAACACAACTCGTTCCATAGTATCTCTATCCGTCTTGACATACCCAGTGTGTATCAGCTTGTTTATCCAAGATATCTCCTTAGCACCAACTTTGTTTGCTATGTTTCTCAAATAGGTCATAATTTTGGGTGTGCATGATGTTGGCGGGCTGATGCCTACCAACCTGTTCACGCAATTGTACTGTCCCATTGAATTAGACCACCGTGGCCTATTCTCTGGCCATCCAATGCGACTGGAAAAAAGATACCATGAAAAACAGGCAAGCCAGTTGTACTTTCGAACCTTCAACCATGCCCACGTCCATGGAGACATCATGAAAATAAGCACTGCGCAAACTTCAAGGAGAAGTTCTCCAATGAATAGTGACATGGTGACCGCAATATCAACTTTACTATACCGCCGTTTCTCTGTTGAAAGAAAGAGGGCAAAAGCAACAATTGAGGTAGATATAGCAATGAATCGAAGTGCAATACCTCCCTTTTTTCTAAGAAGAAGTGCCTTTGTGTAGAGGTCATCATACATCATGCCGAGCTGAAGCTGCACCAAACTTAATTCGGGCTTTATTATAGTTTCAATTATAATTTTCTCCAATTCTGCTTTTCTATTTTCGATTGATATTTCATCTCCCTCCAATTGTACTTCTTCATCACCTTCAATTGGTGTGTTATTTCCTGTGGATTGTATAGCTTCATCATTCTCAGTTGAGATTTTATTTTCCTTCGGTTCTACTACTTCATCATCTTTAATTAATATTTTATATTCCTTCTGCTCTACTATTTCTTGATCTATATCCACAGACCTAGTGGCTTTCTCCAATTCTACTGCTTCTTCATCTTCTCTCACGGATCTAGCAGCTTCTTCCGATTCTACTATTTCTTCATCTTCACTCTCAGAGTTAGCAGTAGACCTGAGACTGCGTGCAGCAAAGATATCATGGATTTGTAACATGGAATTTAAAGCAGTGAGAACATAATCGTAATAGGTCATATTCGACCCGTTGCTCGCTTCTGGCAATTGTATCTCATACATGTGTCGAATAGTGGAGTTCTCAATGCTTTCAAAGCTCCCCCACTTGAGAGACCATGACCTAGTGAAATACTTGATAAATCCAGTAGCAAACATAAATATTCCTGCAAGTAGAAGCTCCTTGTGTCTTCCAATAGAATTGAAGAAAACAAAAACAGCCAGAACAGCATAGAACAGAAGTTTCCCTGAACGTGTCAACCATGCATTCTTGTCCTCCATTTTAAAAGCAGTAATCGTGTCCTGCCCACCAAGATGAATAAGAAGAAATGGCGCCCAAAAGAAAGCAATTGATTGGGGGTTACCCTCTTGTCGTGAGAGGCCACCGAGGGCATAGATTGCTATGATATCTGCCCCTAGATAAGTTGATGAGATTAAGACCCTGGTGAACTTGTCAGTGATGTGCACGTGAAATCTACCCGCAAAGAATAGGACCACTTGCATTGCGAAGCTCAAGAGCACAGGCACATATTTCTCCATTTCGTATCTCATAGCACCTGTTGATTAGAATAGCATACAATATCATTCAGTGTGACTTCGGCAATTGGAAGAAGCAATGCTTTATAAATGGCAGTACAATCAATCCATACCATTCATCCTTTATAATCCAAATCTTCATATTTATTTATACTACCAAACCACTCATATAGTAGATTAATTTTTGTACTGTGGTAGTAGACTTCATAAATCAACAGTTAATATCTCCTTATAATAATATTGGTATAGAATACTGTATCACCGTAAAGTTACTCTTGGACAACATAGCGAATTATCTAGTCGATCATATACTATTTGGTTCAAATATATATATATATATATATATATTATGTTTTAGCCTTATGTACACGAATGTAGTCACTACCAGTAAAAGTATTTTATCTTACAAAATACAAATAATATACCCACCACATTAGGTAATTAACAAGGGTATCTAGAGAAAGTTGGAAGGAAATAGACAAAGTGCCAAATAGATTGATAACCTGGATTTTTTTTTATCTATGGACATTCGTCCTTGATACTGAGGTCAGGATGTCAATGGTTCTCTTATATAAGAAATATAGATCACCTCATGGATTTTCTCTAAATAAGTCATCGTTAGAACACTTGGATAAAACATGAAATGGTGGGTCTCCATCTAATTTATAAACATCTCTCAACACAAAGCCCTAACTCATGCACTTTCCTCTCTCTGATCCATCATATCTCCTCTCCCCCCTCTCTTTCTCTCTCTAAGCCATTACCTCTGTTTCCCACCCACTTGTGTGCTCTTGATTCTCTACAATGCTCCTTTCTCCATCTGCATAGACCATTGCCATGGCATCCCTTCCTCCCATGAATCTACAACACCGCCTGCCTCCATCTACCTCCTAACCTATCGTACTTCTTGCTTTAGAGTGGAAATTCCACTAGGTGCCATCCCTTGGGATCAAATCCATGCTGCTGGCGACCTTAGCCCCACGACCACTCAGGAGCCTTCCTGGTTACCATCTTTTATATATTGAACGCCTCTAACCCACGGACCGTCCATAGATGTTGTCTAGTTCATCTGTTGCCATCCATACCAGCTCAAATGACTGATCCACTCTTCCGCCAAGTGAAACAATGTCGTCCCATGCATATTTTTATAATATAGTTGGATGGCTGAAATTTGAGGTTGAATTCAAGATGTTTAGCTTACTGATTGCGTCTTATTCTTGACATGATTGATGAAGTTCATGGAGATTAATAAATATCTTACTTTGATTTTATTTATCTGGCCTCTAAACTAAGATAATAATTTATTTTATTATGTCGTTAATTACCTTTTTATAGTAAAATTCTTAGAAGATTTTGTAATTACAAGTGAGTTTATATTGCATTGACTATAAATTTTAGATGTCATTATCTTACACTAGCCTATAAATTTATACAGATGAGTGTAATTGAATGAATATTTTTTTGACGTGAACGTTTGCATAGTCTTCAATAAACGTGTTTCATCATTTATCTTTTCTAATTTATTTAGAAAATATAAATGGTGAAACATGTTTATTGAAGATTGTGCAAGCGTCTAAAATAATGGATAAAAAATGGACATAGTGGTATGCAGAAAAAATGTTTAGTTGTATGAGAATTTCTGTTTTGTTTACTGTGAATACAGGAAAAAATGGCTAAGTTGATTATATCCATTAGTGGGTTGTTAAAGTGATTTATTAGCACATCAGATTCTATTAATTAGTTGTCTGTTAATTAGTCTATGAGGTGAGCCTAAACATGCAACGGTTACGGTTGATTGAGTGATGAACGCTTTGGATGTTATCAACGGCAAATTTTGCCGTTTGCCTCAAAGGCAGACGATACGAACAGACTTGGTGGTTGTACCGATGGTAGCTAGGTTACCAGAGAAGAGATCTTCTATGTATGAATGGGTTTAAATAGCAATTTGTGTGATGTTTGTAGTGCCTTAATTTTATATATGATTAAGACTGTGTTTAGATCAGGGGTGAAAAGTTTTAGCGTGTCACATCGGGTATACGGACACATATTTGAAGTATTAAGCGTAGACTAATAATAGATTCCACCTATAAACTGCGAGACGAATTTATTAAGCCTAATTAATCCGTTATTTGCAAATTTTTACTGTAGCACCACATTAATGTCAGATCATGGAATAATTAGGTTTAAAAGATTCGCCTCGCAATTTACACGCCACTGTCTAATTAGGTTTTTTTCTATATTTAATACTCTATGCATGTGCCAAACATTCGATATAATAGGGTGAAAAATTTTACCAGGGATTTAAACAGGCCCTAAATCCTTAAATATCAGTTTTTATCTTTTATGACCCGGCAATAAAGTTAGCTGGCCAACCGTATTAAAGGCAATCCCACACGAGAAAATTGTAAGTCCCCATGACCGACTGCAACTCTTCCTCATCCTCAACAACCCTACCCACGTCACCGCCTCTCCTAGCCATGCCGCTGCTGCCTCCATACCCAGCTGCACCATTGTCCTCCTCCTATCGTGCTGGAGGGTGGCATCAGCTGACGGATTTGGTGGCACCGGATCCTAGACCACTAGGAGGAGAAGGAGAATTACTAAGTGACTTTTAATATTTTTTTTAATATTCAAGCTAAAAGTAAATTATATTAGTTATTTACAACAAATAAAAATAGTTTGTCAAACTATATATATTCAGAGAGAAATAAATTTAATAGACTCTGTATCAGATTGTAGATGAAATATGATATCCCGCACTTTGATTATATTGATGAATTTATGTTAAGTATTATAAAAATGATGGATATATATGTTAAAAATATTGTAAAAAATAATGTGAAAAAAATGATTGGATGTTGATTTGTAGAATGAATTATATATGATATTGCATGCTTGCATAAGTTTTTATATAATTATTGCTAGTGGATGATGAGGTGGTATGTTTGCATGTTGAGCTTTAGAATTAGTAGGTTATAACTTTATAGTAAGATAGGATTCATAGTGCCGTTCGGACCCCATGCCGTGACTCAAGGAAAAAAAGCAAGATACACGTGTGCAAGCTGAGCAGGGGTCAGGACCTCCACGGGGCTCTCTCCCCACGCTACTCACCTAGGATTTGGCTGAAGAACGAGTGATCAAAGTTGGATACAGGGATTTTAGGTAGATGTGGTAGAAGCGAACGTGGCACGGAATATTCGTTAGGGGAATGATGCAACTGAATGCCAACGTTAACTCAACGCACTGTAAACGCCCTTATCCAACAACCCTAGAGCCTGGTTTGCGGATGGGATCCCCACCGTCCCACGATGCCGCCTCTAGCGTGCTGGGGAGGAAGTGAGATAGGGAGGGTGATGACGGCGGCAACTTAGGATGGCTGACAGATCTGACATTGCGAGGCAAAGGCCAACGGATTGGGCATCAGGAAAGCTAGCGGCCGACGGATCAATTGTACCTGAGGCTGGTGGGGCCGATGGCATGAAGTGAATGTTTGTGCTTTTTAAATCAACTTGATCTCAAGATTTTATTGTAAGATTGTTTAGTTTACTGTTGTGAGTTGATCTTTATGTAATTTGATATCTGGATTGAAATTGTATTATAGATTGGAGTAACATGTTGATGTAACCATCTATTTTACTTTGTCCCCAAAATGAGTAACACTGGTGGTCTAGATGCCAGTTTTTGAAACGGTAGAGATTGGCCTTTCTATGCCGGTGATAGTCCTATCTATATATACTACTATAAAATACAACAAGTGGTGGTGGTTATAATAACCTCTCTACCACTACTTTAGCAAATTTTCTAAATTAGTCCATCATATTTTATGATATTATACAATAATCTAATATTTGTTTCAAGTAAATACTATATATTCAAATGAGCAAACAAACAATAATAGCATACTTGATAAAACAATAATTATCTATGCCATATTATTATATATTATTTTATCCATAGCAAAATATGGGCATTTCGCTACTAAAATTAAAATTCGATGTGATGCATACTAGTCTGGACCAAATATTTAAAATATAAAGTTTAATTGGAGTCATATCTCAAACCGACGAGCATTTGTTACTGAGGAAAAACTGTTTATGGGGATAAAGAAAACACACACATATACTTACCGATGGATGGAGTCGTCATGTTGGACCTGGATGTGCAAACTTGCTGCTTCCTGAGCCTCCTCTTGCATATGTTCCCGGACCTGCCTCTTGCCTGTCTGGCTTCACCTTAAATAGAAGAACGCAGGCAGGCATATGCAACTTGCTACTGGGGTCTGGGAGTACCAAGTAAACGCTAGTCTTCCTGGTTTCTAGGGCCGTGGTCGATCGTGTGGGGACTCTCACAACTAAGGGCAGTCTCAACTCATAGTGCTCATAAGCAGTGTCTATGGTGTCATATCAATAAGACATCACAATATAAACTACACTCTACGATCCATGGTTTCTTAAAGTTAGCCATTAATAAATGCATCATCTCTCTTCTCTACCAATCTTATTTATTCTTCATCTATTATGAAAACATTATTCTCTCCAAATGCAAAACTTGATAGTGTCTAGTGCATAGATTCTCGTGTTGAAGCTGTGTCTTGCATGAGACCCAGTTTCCTCCTCTCTTCACTCTCTCTTAATTAATATAGTGTTACGTAAGCTAAAAGTCCTACATGGCAATGTAGTTAATACCATAGACACCATCCTAGGTGGAGGGTTGGGACTGCCCTAACGTGGGTGCACTTGCCACTCGCGTAGCTAATTGGGAGTAAAATTTATTTAACATGTAAAGAGACCCGTGTAATGGTACTATATATCTGAGTGCGATGGCAACCAAGCATATTCCATACGAAGCCAGCTTTGGTGTGCTGTTCTGTTTACACCAACTTTACATATATTGTAGGACTAGTCTTGTAAAATTTATATACATATCCAAAATTTCAGGCATATACTCATGAGGGAAATTAACCAATTTCGTCTGCAGGAACCTTTGGGCCACTTTATCTGGAAAAAGGTGGCAACTTTGGGGTCATCATACATTTGCTGATGCATTTGGGTAAGTTCACACGATCGCGACCCTACAAACCAGGAAGACTAGCGTTTACTTGGTAATTAAAGACTTAGAACTGCTACCGAGGACTCCTCCGTTGCATAATTCTTAACGTTTCGGATAAGGTTGAGATCAAACTTTAATAGCTTTGCTTATCAATAACTTTAAAAATACTTAGTTTAAAAGGTTGAGAACAATATGTATAGATTTGTCTTTCCAAGAACTGTAATACGGAGTAAAAGTAAACATGTATTTATTTATTGTGTATATTATAATAAAAAATAAGATTAAAGATATATTTTGAAGACCATATTATTATCTAAAACATTAAGAATTACGAAACCGGAGAGAGTATATGCCCCTGGGTTTGATCCCCGCCGCCGTGGCCTCCCATTCGCGGCGTTCCTCGTGGAGGGCAAAGGAGGATGGGATGATGCAGTCGTCATTCAGGGGATTTATTTTTTTTATTAGCAAGTGTCATTATCTTCTAATAAAATCAGGGCCAGCTATGGGGCAGTACGGATGGTGCGACTGTACTGGGCCTCTAAAAATTAGGGGCCTCCAAAATATGTATACTATGGTATCAAGCCTGATAGGCTTAGAGAAAAGACAGAAGACCAATTGGCGATCGAGCATATCGTGACTGCTTGATTGTATTTTAAACTTATTAGTGTGAAATTCGTTAATGACAATGAGTTTTTAAATATTATCTTATATTTTTTGGTGTATGGGGGTCTTTTTTTTTTTCCGCACCAGGCCACAAAAAGTCAGGGCCGTCCTTGAATAAAACCCTCACTCTGATATGCTAACTAAAAGTTGCCTGCTATTCTCTTTTCTTTACATAAGCGTAGTTGTTCAGTAACTGAACCTGGCCTGATGGCATTAGTGCTAGTGACTTATTATTAGCAGTGGAGATTAAGAAATTCAGCCCAAACTGTCTACAAAGGCATTAGAAGTAAGAATGTTATATCGTAAATACTCCTCCTGTTTTCGAATGTAAAATGTTTTAGTTTAAAACAAGTTAATTATATTTCTCCCTTATGGCCATATCGCAAAAAATAGGATACACCAGTTTACCAACTTTTTCTAGGAAGTGCAAAAATAATAATCCATGAACCAATAAAGCGTAATAGACAACGAACTCAGAAACGCACTTCAATATTTTTACCAGATCAGTGGACTACAATAAGCCCATCTAAATTTCCATTTTCTAATATTGATGACATATATAGGGTGGCATAGGAGTTCTGTAGAGGAATATATATTTAAGAGTAAATTGAATCTTGGGTCACTCTTTTTTGCCATTGTTGCAATTTGGATTAAGGGTAAACAAACTTTTTCACCTTAGACCACGTATCGTCTTTACTGGTCGTTTAAGTTTGGACTATTTCTTCTACCTCTAGCTCCCCCTCTCTCCTCTCTTTCTCTCTTTACTCATGGGCAGGAAGAACTGTTGAGATTATAGGTATATAATGATTTAATATATTCCATAAATAAATCATGGCATTACAGATGTATACTAGCATTAACGCATCATTAGATCTACACATGTAAACTATACATGTAAACTAAGCTGTAAAACATAAACAGATCAAATATACGCAACATATTAAACACGTACCGAGGTGATAGAAAGACCGGCTGCTCGGCAGGAACTTTTCGCGATTGCAGGCGTCAACGAAGGCGCACAGCATGCGAGCGAAGAGGATGACGAGCCGTCACGGACGAATAGGGAGCAGTCGCGCTAAACGCTTCCCAAAAACCTTATTGCTGCCTTCTCCTGGTGCAGGAAGTCGAAGGCAGATGTTCCGGAGACCTGGTCTCCCGATCGCCGGTGCACGCCGGCGAGCGGGATGTAGTAATCTACGAGCGACAGCGCAGCACAGAGTAGGAGGCAAACCCTAGATTGATTTCGCGTGTGTTGCGTGAAGACGGCAGGTCGGTTTATATAGAGAAGGGTCGCTTGATCAGGGCGCCCGCACGATCTCCACTATGCGTAACCAAACCGGATAAGTCACGCGTAACTTATCCAGACTCCAAGCCGTTTTCACGCACCGGATTTTTCGGAACGTTTCCAAAACAGAAACGAATCCGAATTTGCAGCAAAACAAAACTGCAAAAGGAGGCTGCATCTGCGCAAGGTGAGGAATCAATTTTGGCGGACCATTCGACGTATACGTCGTGCACGCGCGCCGCCTGCCCTGCCAGGCCAGGCGAGGCGAGCGAGCGCGCGCGTGTGTTCCCCCTCTTCTCTCCACCACACATGCTTCAAGTGGCTAGGAAGACATCCTCCCTTTTAAGGAGGTCCCCTTTCCTAGAATAAGCAAGGTGGTACTAAACTCCACATGCATGCCATCCCATGAGGTGGGCTTTTGTGATTTTCTAAAGAATTAATCTTCGAGTGGGCTAAGGCCCATCCATTAATTCCAACAATCCCCCACCAAATGTCAAAATCCCACTGAGATTTGCCTTTACCAATGTACTGTTTATATACCAGCGGTTCGATGGAGACCGATTAAGGTTGAACATCCATCTAGAACTCCAAGCTACACTTACTCACAACTTGAACAATGGACTACGCCTTGAATTGCAAGTCTTGTGCAAGCAAGTTTCACTCAAAGTCTTATCTGGTACTAGATCGTCTGTACACTACCCCTCGGGTGGAGCGTATAAGTCATACTCCTAGGTCTTTAGTAAGCTTCCTAGAAGATTCACCCAAAATCTTCATAGACTGCGACCAACAGTCAAGCTCACAAAGGTGAGTTCTTTCAAGAATGCTCTGCAGGACAGCATCTTCGCTAATTAAAGCCAACAGAACTCATTAAGGTATAGCCAACCTGCCTTGCAGCTCACGAGAGTACATGCATCTTCACTTAGAGAGGGTATATATTGGTACTCTCCTCTAGTTTACTAATGGTTTGTTCTTCCCAGGATCTAATTTACGGGATCTCCGATCACATAGACTGGGTTACCACCATAGTATAACTCACATGGGTCTCAAACCCATCTCCTTCGATGTATTGTCTATCACATTTCGTGATAGTCCCTTCGTGAAGGGATCTGCCAGGTTTCTAGTTGTTTGGATGTAATCCAACGTTATAACTCCGGAGTTTCTCAATTTCCTGACAGACTTCAATCGTCTTTTCACATGTCTAGACGATTTCATATTATCCTTAGAACTATTCACTTTGACAATTACCGTTTGATTGTCACAGTTCATAAGGATAGCCGGCACCGGTTTTTCAACAATAGGCAGATCCATTAATAGATCACGCAGCCATTCTGCCTCAACAGTAGCAGTATCCAGTGCCGTCAACTCCGCTTCCATGGTTGACCTCGTCAAAATGGTCTGTTTGCAAGATCTCCACGAAACAGCACCACCACCTAGTGTGAAGACATATTCACTAGTGGCTTTGATCTCATCCACATCAGAGATCCAGTTAGAATCACTATATCATTCCAGTACCGCAGGGTACCTAGAATAGTGAAGCCCCAATTCCATAGTACCTTTCAGATAGCGCATTACTCGCTCAAGCGCACGCCAGTGATCATCTCCTGGATTAGAGGTAAACCGGCTCAACTTGCTCACAGCAAAGGAGATATCAGGCCTAGTTGCACTAGCCAGGTACATCAGCGAGCCAATGATTTGGTAGTATTCCAGTTGATTCCTAGCAATTCTCTTGTTCTTGCGAAGCAACAAGCTAGGATCATAAGGTGTTGGAGAAGGCTTACTATCAATGTAGCCAAAGCGATTCGAGATCTTCTCCACATAATGGGACTGCAAGAGTGTAATCACATTCTCACCTCTAATTAGCTTGATGTTTAGGATAACATCAGCTACTCCCAAATCCTTCATATCAAATTTTTGAGACAAGAATAATTTAACCTCATTTATTACCTCAAGATTTGTCCCAAATATCAGTATGTCATCAACATACAAGCACAGAATAACTCCCTCACCCCCACCATGGCGATAGTATACACATTTATCTGCCTCATTGACTGCGAAGCCTGCAGATGTCAATGTTCTATCAAATTTCTCATGCCATTGCTTAGGAGCTTGTTTCAGACCATACAAAGACTTCAACAATTTGCACACTTTGCCTTCTTGACCTTCATCTACAAACCCATCAGGTTGATCCATATAGATCTCCTCATCCAGCTCTCCATTAAGAAAAGCTGTTTTTAACGTCCATTTGATGAACGAGAAGACCATGTGAGGCTGCTAGGGAAAGTAGCACACGAATTGTGGTCAATCTAGCAACAGGTGAGTAAGCGTCAAAGAAATCTTCGCCTTCTTTCTGAGTATAGCCCTTAGCAACAAGTCGAGCCTTGTACTTTTTAATAGTACCATCAGGCCTAAACTTCTTCTTGAACACCCACTTGCACCCCACAGGTTTACATCCATAGGGTCGCTTTATCACTTCCCAAGTCCCGTTAGCGATAATGGAATCCATTTCACTACGGACAGCCTCCTTCCAGTAGTCTGCATCAGGAGATGCATATGCTTCTGAAATTGACTTAGGAGTGTCGTCCACGAGGTACACAGTGAAATCATCACCAAAGGACTTAGCCGTCCTTTGTCTTTTACTCCTTCGAGGAGCTTCACTGTCATCCTCCTTAGTGACATGTTCATGTGTATGTTCAGTTTGTTCTGGTGGTGTGATTGAATTGGCAATTATTTCAGAAGGTTGACTAGAACTACTATGTGTATCCTTCGTTGGGAAAAAGGTAGCATCACGAGACTCCATAATTGTACCAACATGCATGTCAGGTACCTCAGATTTAACTATTAAAAATCTATAGGCAATGCTGTGGTGAGCATATCCCAGAAAGACACAGTCCACAGTCTTAGGTCCAAGTTTGCGCTTCTTCGTTATTGGTACATTGACTTTCGCCAAGCACCCCCATGTGCGCAAGAAAGAAAGTGATGGTTTTCTCCCAATCCATATTTCATATGGTGTTTTGTCCTTATTTCTGTTAGGAACTCTGTTTAACACATGATTCGAGGTCAGCAATGCCTCTCCCCACCATGCCTTAGGTAGTCCCGCGGTGTCCAACATGGCATTCACCAAGTGTGTCCAACATGGCATTCACCAAGTCAGTCAGTGTGCGGTTCTCCCTTTCAGCAATCCCATTAGACTCAGGAGAATAGGGAGGCGTCCTCTCATGTATAATGTCATGTTCCTCACAGAATAAGTCAAACTCGTTTGAGAAAAACTCTCCACCACGATCAGACCTAAGTCTTTTTATCTTTCTATCAAGTTGATTTTCAACTTCTGCCTTATAAATTTTAAAATAGTCTAGAGCCTCGTCTTTCATTTTCAACAAGTACACATAGCAAAATCTAGTAGCATCATCAATCAACGTCATGAAATATCGTTTTCCACCCTTCGTCAACACCTAATTCATTTCACAAAGATCTGAATGTAAGAGTTCTAGAGGTGCCAAGTTTCTCTCCTCAGCAGCCTTGTAAGGCTTGCAAGGTTGCTTTGATTGCACACAACTATGGCACTTAGAACCTTTGACAATGGAAAACTTAGGAATTAAACACATGCTGGAAAGTCGAGACATCAAGCCAAAATTAATATGACATAAACGTGAGTGCCAGACATTAGCCTCATCATCCACACTGCCATAAATATGGTTCATAGACTCAAATTGTGTTTGAGTGCAGTACCGAAACTTCTCCAAGATGGAGGAAGTTTCGCAATAATGCACCCGGCCACAAATTTGTCGGGTAAGACACACTTAAGGAGTTCGAATTCCTTAGCCATGGTTTGTATCTTATGAGCCTGTTCGACTACAGAACGGTTGTCAGCCATCTTGTAGTCGTGAAACTGCTCCATGATATACAGATCATTGCTAGCATCAGTAGCACCGAATTTAGTATTCAGTGCATCCCACAACTCCTTAGCGTCGGTCATATGCATATACACCTCGACCAGACGATCGCCAAGAACGATAAGAATGCATCCCACAAAGAGAGTAGTGACTTCCTCGAATTGCTTCTGCTGTTCAGTAGTAAGAACTCCTTCAGGTTTGCCAGTACTCACCCAGAAACATTTCATAGCTGTCAGCCACAGAGTGACCCTGATCTGCCATCTCTTAAAGTGCACACCGGTGAATTTATCCGGCCTCAGTGCATCGGCAAAACCAGCCATAGTAAAATCACAGTGCCTATAATAAGGTTTTTGGATTGTTGAGATTATAAGCATATAATGATTTAATATATTTCATAAATAAATCATGGCATTGCAGATGTATACTAGCATTAACGCATCATTAGATCTACACATGTAAACTAAGCAGTAAAACATGAACAGATCAAATATGCGCAACATATTAAACATGTACCGAGGTGGTAGAAAGACCGGCTGTGCAGGACGTCGAAGGCAGAGGTTCCGGAGACCTGCTCTCCCGATCGCCGGCGTGCAGGGACGTCGAAGGCAGAGGTTCCGGAGACCTGCTCTCCCGATCGCCGATGCACGCCGGTGAGCGGGATGGAGTAATCTACGAGCGACGGCGCAGCACAGAGTAGGAGGCAAACCCTAGATTGATTTCGCGTGTGTTGCGTGAAGACGGCGGGTCGGTTTATATAAAGAAGGGTCGCTTGATCAGGGCGCCTGCACGATCTCCACTGCGCGTAACCGAATTTGACGCGTAACGTCGTGCACGCGCGCCGCCTGCCCTGCTAGGCGAGGCGAGCGAGCACGCGCGTGTTCCCCCTCTTCTCTCCACCACACATGTTTCAAGTGGCTAGGAGGGCATCCTCCCTTTTAAGAAGGTCCCCCTCTCCTAGAATAAGCAAGGTGGTACTAAACTCCACATGCATGTTATCCCATGAGGTGGGCTTTTGTAATTTTCCAAAGAATTAATCTTCGAGTGGACTAAGGCCCATCCATTAATTCCAACAAGAACCACCACTACAAGTGAGCAGGTTGAGCAGCCACCTGCCAGTGCCGTGCTTGCGCTGGAACTCCGCCAGCACCAGCATCAATGCCATGTGATTGAAAAATGGCCTAAGGACCTTGGTTGCACTTGACAGAAATAAAGAAGATAAGGGCAGAAGAAATTCCCCATTGCCAAGTGGAGGTAAAGCTCGAGCTCAACTACCACGACATGAATTTAGATGTGAATATGTGATGTTGCTGGAGCACCTCCATTGCAAGGAAACCATCATTGCGATGGATTTGGGTGGCAGCGTCCGATTTGTGCAACAGCCACAAGATGGCTCTCATCGTGGTTGGGCTTGTCCTGCATCATCCCCTACGAGGATCAGACCATGGACTGATTGGGGGCGATGCAGTAATGTGTTCACCTCAATGGCAGCAACCCCTCAAATAGGAGTTGGCCACAGCGGCGCAGTTCGTGATGTGGTCACCACTCGTTGTCTTCGGTGAAACGAGAAGAGACAGATAGGACCTTGGAGGTAGAGAACAGAGCAGAAGGTAGAAGAACTAGCCTAAACTGAATCAACTAGTAAAGATAGGTGGTTTAATATGTAATATGTCACTCTAACAACGTGCAGGTATAAATTCAACTCTACAATTTTTTAACAAAAATAACAAATTTAACTCTAATTATTATACGTATATTCACATACGTATATTCACAGTTGAATTTGATATAACATGTAGAAATCAAATTTAAACTACAAGTAGTTTGTAGAGGTGATCTTGTCAATAATATATGACAAATTTTTTCATAATTATTTATTTGTCATGTAATAAATGGATGTACATCCACCCTGATTAGAATCGACTGCCAATATTGCGTTAACTGGTTGCAACATCGTAGTCGCATTCTCGCAGCAGCAGTTACGATTGAGAAACTCGGTTCAGAGCTTGCTTCTCCCAGACCCAGCTGTCCCTGTGGGTGCGCGCCTGGAGGAGGAAGAGGCGGCGGCGGGGAGGCTGCCCATGGCCTTGGCCCGCTCCCGCAGCGCCACCTTCTGCACCTTCCCCGTCGCCGTCTTCGGAAGCTCCTCCTCCACCACCACCACCGTCCGCGGCGCCATGTATCGCGGCAGCCGCGCGCGGCAGAACGCCATCAGCTCCTCCTCCACCGCCGCGCCGCCTCCTCCTCCTCCTCCTCCTCCTCTCAGCTTCACGAACGCGCACGGCGTCTCGCCCCAGTACTCGTCCGGCCGCCCCACCACCGCCGCCTCCTCCACCGCCGGGTGCCCGAACAGCGCCGCCTCCACCTCGACCGTGCTGATGTTCTCCCCGCCGGAGATGATGATGTCCTTGGACCGGTCCAGGATCTTGATGTACCCGTCCTCCTCCCGCACCGCCAGGTCGCCCGACCGGAGCCACCCGCCGGCGAGCGCCTCCGCCGTCGCGCCGCCGTCCTTGTAGTACCCGCTCATCACCGTGTTCCCCCGGAGCATCACCTCCCCGACCGTCCGCCCGTCCGCCGGCACGCTCCGCATCGTCGCCGGGTCCTTCACGTCCGCCGCCTCCAGCCCGACGTGGTGGAGCCCCTGCCGCGACTTGATCCGGGCGCGCTCCTCCGCCGTCAGCGCGTCCCACTCCGGCTTCCACGTGCACACCGTCGCCGGCCCGTACGTCTCCGTCAGCCCGTACGAGTGGATCACCAGGAACCCCTGCTCCTCCATCCGGAACAGCACCTGCGGCGGCGGCGGCGCGCCGCCGGTCATCACCGTCACCCTCCTCCTCCTCCCGCCCGGCTGCCGCCGCCGCTCGTCCGCCGTCGCGTTCACGATCATGCTCAGCACCGTCGGCGCGCCGCCCATGTGCGTCACGCCGTGCCGCGCCACGCTGTCGAAGATGGCCGCCGCGGTCACCCTGCGGACGCACACGTTCGTGCCGCCCTGCGCCGCCACGCCCCACACCTGGCACCACCCGTTGCAGTGGAACATCGGCACGGTCCACAGGTACACCGGCGTCTCCGCCATGGCGTTCACGATCACGGCGGCGAGGCTGCTCAGGTACGCGCCGCGGTGGCTGTAGATCACGCCCTTGGGCCTCGACGTCGTCCCGGAGGTGTAGTTCAGGGCGATCGGCTCGTTCTCGTCGGCCGGCCACCGGATCGCGAAGTCCGGCGACGATCCGGCGGCGGCGGCGCTCAGGAGGTGCTCGTACTCGTAATCGACTCGGGTGACCTTGATCTTGGCATCAGGAGGTGATCGTTCGTTTTCGTCGAGGAGCTCGCTGATGAGAACCAAGACGGGACGCCTGGCTCCGGCTTCGGCGACGAGCACGAGGGCTTTCTGGGCGACGCCGAGCAGAGCGCGGTCGACGAAGACGACCTTGGCCTCGGAGTGGCGCAGCAGGACGGCCGCCATGGCGGCGTCGAGGCGCGAGTTGAGCGTGCAGATGACGGCGCCGGCCATGGGGACGCCGAAGTGGAGCTCGCAAACAGCAGGAATGTTCTGCGCGAACACCGCAACCTGCGCATGAACCAAAATGTGAATCACCGCGATTAAATTACAGCATTTGGCATGCGAATTCACAGCGATTTTGAGGGGTGAAATTAATGTTACTGTTACAGTGGCGTGGCGCCTGTTCATACGTACCACGTCGTGGCGCTGGACGCCGAGGAGGCCGGTGAGGGCGGCGGCGAGGCGGAGGCAGCGGGCCCGAGTGTCCCGCCAGGTGCGCGACACGGCCACGCCGGCGCTGCCATCCGAGGCGACAATAGCGAGACGGTCGGGGTACACGAGCGCGGTGCGCTCGAGGAAGCTGATGGGCGTGAGCGGCGCGTGGTTGGCGGAGCAGAGCACCGTGCCCTCCATCGATATCGTCGAACTAGCAGTGGAGAGGAGGAGAGCTGCTGCTGCTGCTACTGGAGTCTGGAGCTCGAGAGAGGCAGCCATGGAGTCTGTGCATGGCTGCCTATTTATAGCGCGGCAGCCGCTGCAGGCTAGGGTAGTGAGGTGGTGGGTGGGGGGAGGTTGGAATGCAAGCCGCAGAGTGCGCAGAATCATTGGGCCGCGTTGGTTAGTTTTCTGATTCATTCAGCGGCGCGGCCGCCCGCCAAAGCACACTAGCACAGCACCGGCACAATGAGGGTTAGAATTAGATTCCAATTTCGATACTTGTAAACTACTCCCTCACTCCTATCTTAAATACGGTTACAGTTGACATGTATGGCGTTTGATCTGTCTTATTTCAAAAATTTATAAAATAAATAAAATAAATAAGTTACATATAAAGTATTATTTATATTTTATCATCTAATAATAATATAAATAGTAATTATAAAATTTTTTAAATAAAACAGACCATAAAACGTTGGATACGGAAATTTATAACTGCACTTAGGAGCCGAGGGGTTACTAGTAGTATAGCTTTATTATCCATCTTAGGTTACATGACAGCATTGGAAGCCAGATTTCAGGTATCATATCATATAAAACTACTGGTAATAAAGTTGGTGAAGTGTCATCAGTTTCGCACATAGCTCACCCTGTGAATGGTCATCCAGCTTGACCGTGGATCTTCTCATCCGAGATCCGACACTAGCGCCCGTCCTATTCAGACCCTGCTGACATAAGCACTGAGCTACGCCTACAACCGATAAGTCATGATAAAATAATCAAAATAATTAAAAAAAAGTTTATGAGGAAAACTACTTTCATTTGTATCAATAAATGTTTAAAAAATAATATTGAAAAATAAACTACGGTATAAAAATTTTAAAATCAGCACTAAAATTATCTTCAAAATTCAAATTTTAATTGCAACCGATAAATAGATAAGCAAACAATAAAAGAAACCTTGTGCAGCTCTGTCCCGTCAAATCCATCCACCACTCTGCCGAGGGGACATAAAACAAAAAAGAGAATCAGTGCATTCAGGCATGTCCCCCTTAGAAAAGTTTGTTTAGAAAAGTTCTTCTAGAATCTCTCTCCCTATATAAATTATGGGATATTTTAAATGTCATGTTACCGTTGATATGTACTATACTTTTATTATAACCGTATATCATATTGAAAGTTCATACTCCCTCCGTCTCATTTTAAATGTAACCATGAGTTTTTACGTCCAACTTTAATCGTTCGTCTTATTTGAAAAAAAAAAATTAATTACTACCACCGTTCCAAAATAAGTGCAGTCGTCGAAATCCATGTCCAACGTTTGACCGTCCGTCTTATTTGAAAAATTTTAAAAAAATTAGTCACACATAAAGCACTATTCATGTTTTATCATATAATAACAATAAAAATAATAATCATAAAAAATTTTCAAATAAGACGAACGGTCAAACGTTGAAGATGAATAGTGCAAAACTGCACTTATTTTGGGACGGAGGTAGTAGTATTTTGTTGTTATGAGATGACAAAACATGAATATTACTTTATGCGTGACTTACGTTTTTAATTTTTTTCAAAAAATTTTCAAATAAGACGGACGTTCAAAGTTAGGCACGGAAACTCATGGCTGCACTTAAAATAGAACGGAGGGAGTATTAAACAAGACATGCAATTAGATTTTTTTTTTCAAAACCTTGGACATAATAAACATGAAGTTGTTGCATAAAAATCATAAAACTCTCAACTTAGTATATTGTTAGTATATTAAAAAAATTTGATATTATTGGTTAAGAAGTTCTAATTTATGTGAAATGCTCTTAAATCCAAGCCAGTACATTTTAAAAATAACCAATACATCTAGCATATTTATAACATACTCCCTTCGTTTTTAAATATAAAGATTTTTAGATTATTAAGCAAATACTAAGGTTTGGTTGTTTAGTTATTTCAGTTGGAAGTTGTAATTTTGAATTGCTTAGATCTTTTTCCTAGCATGTGATTGGCTTTGGACCCATTGAAACAGTGATGGGAATTAGCGTAAGAATGCTTATATTGTGACACAAAATTTGAATCATATAAATCGTTATAGTTTGGATTAGCGAACAACAATATATGTAACTCACGGGGTTGATGTCTACCTTATTCAAATAGCATAATAATAGCATAATAGTATCTCCATTTTATTTATGAATGAATGATTTAAAATAACAAATGTTGTCATTATTAAACAAATGATTTTTTTTCTGGCCAAACACCCCAATAGGTTGCAGGCAGGTGGGCCATAAGTGTTCACGTCTACAAAAATCAACCTCCATTTTCGCATATCGCAGGCTCGCATGTAAAAAACAATTTTTGCAAGCGGGTCTTTTAACAAATCAGATATTTTCGCATGCGAACATGTTAAGTGATATGCATGGAAAAATCACCCATTTTTTATTCTCCACTCCTCCCTCTGTCTAACTCCTCCTCTCCCCTACTCCTCCTTACTCCGGATGACTCCTCCTCTTCCCTCGAATCCCTCCCGACGGCAGGCACCAGCGGCAACGTCAGCGGTGGGCGAGGGCAAGGGCGACAGCAACGGCCCTCACCCTCCCTCACATGGATCTGGCGGTGGGCTCAAGCGGGAGGCCAGTGCAGGAGCGGCCCCGCGCGGATCCGTCGGCTGCATCCTCCCCTGCACTGATCTGGTAGCCGCCGCCCTCCCCCACGTGGATCTGGTGGTGGGCGGTGAATTAGGGTTTGGGATGACTCCGGCGGTGACAACATCTGGCAGCAGCGGGCTAGGGTTTGGGAATAAATCAGGGAGCTAGGGTTTCAACTTTTGAATTTTTGAGATTTTATTGTTTTCAGACTTTTATTTTTGCATGTGGATGACATAAGCACCCATACGCAAAAATCTGATTTTCATGTACAGGTGCGTCACGAACACAGAAATAACGATTTTTGTAGCCCCCTAGGTGCGTGCGGGTTGCCCAGCCTCCTGCAAAAATCTAATTTGACCGTATGGAAAAAAAATACATTTTGTTTCAGATGGGCAAAAAAAATCAACATATTCCCTCTATTCATAAACATTTTTATGTTCAAGACAAGATTTGAAAGTTTTAAAACTTGAAGATTAGTGTACAAAATCTATTAAGTACATATAATATTATATATGACAGTACCTTTTCAGGATAAATCTACATATAGCTTTTTTTTTTCCAAATTAAGGGTGAGATGTTATTGGTGATCAAACTTTTAATAGTTTGGCTGAATTTTACTCTAAATATCAAATATTTATGACCTTTGGGAGTAATATGTAATAAGCTTAAATATAATTATAATGAAATGTCTCTTCGTGTGACATGAATATACCTTAACCGGGGTTTCAAAATGTGAAAAGTCGACAATTGTTGCTAACAGGTAGATAATTCACGGTTAACAAAAAAAATGGTGGAATTCAGATAAATTTTATAAAGAAATTGATTTTTAGTTTGAATATATAAATTGGCTGATTTACTAACATGGTGTCTGCAACTGATGAAAATGAGAACTCATTACACGTTTAAACAAAAAATGCTATAAGTGCATGATTAATTAAGTTTTAGTTATTATAAACTTAAAAATATATTTATTCAATATTTCATAGTAGCGTTTATATAGAAAATTTTCGTACAAAACATACCATTTAGCTATCTATTTATCTATTATATACTAAAAGTATATTAAACTTCCTACAAACACTCTTAAACCGTCTTAAACCGCCATGTGGCACTCCTATAAACGTTTCTAAGCCGTCATGTGGTACTATCTAATCTCACCATTGATTTTTACTTAAATTGGTGGACCCGTTATTCTACACCATTAGGTTAGATCTATTATTGCGAAATATAGAAACGATACTACCGTTCTCAGGTCTCGTACGTACGACGTACGAGTAGTAGGTGCAATTTAAATTTCAACTGTTCACGGAAGGGAAAAAAACCATACTACTTCACAAATATAATATAAATATATATAGTTAAACTAAGATATATAAGAAAAACATAGAATACCCAATAAATGTTCTTTAAACAATCTTCTAAATTATTTTGAAATTATATATCCAATTTGTGATCATGTTGTATTTCTTTAATTAAATTATAAAAGTTATATTATAGTCCTAAATACACCATGGCACATGAGGCTGACATATGTATGATAATTTTTCAAAAAAATACATCATATTTTAGGGAGGGAAATATCACTTCACAAATATACAACATTAATTTAAATCTGCATATGTAAAAAATAAAAACAACACAATTTAGTTGTGTTTTTCAAGTAGGTCTGATTAAATTATAATTTATTTGAGATTAAGATTCTCAAAGTAGCTTTATACTTTTAGAACTATTTGACTATATATATTTGTCAAAATATAAATAATAACATGATGCTCTGGTTATTATCGTGGTGTTATGTCTCATTAGATATAATTTTTTAAAAATACCATCGAACGATTGACCTCAGTCATATTCAAAAGAGAGTATTCTATCTATATAATAAAAAAAATGAGTTGTAATGATCAACAACATAAACAAATCGTGTCTACACTGCACCACAAATCTACTCAAAACATTTTTAAAAACTACTTTGGTCACCTCCATCTTCTCTTTGTTCTTCCCTAAAGGACACCAAACATGGACAACAAAGTTTATTATGGTGTCGCAAGTTTAGTATGGAATATACGGCTAAGTTAAGACAGTCCCAGTGGAGACCACCATTGCTAATAGTACTCAACTTTCTACTTACCAATGCAAAACTCCATGAGTCCTATTTCATTCTTTGGTTTTCCAAAAGTCTAAATCCTATTTGTAGTCACTATGTGCTATATTAAATTTTTTATCGGAACCAAAAAGTCATTTTAATACTTATTGCTTGCATGTTCATTGGTTTTGTCACATGATGAATGAGTTGACTACACCTTGATCTTAGTGAAAAAGAAATATAACTTAGACTTTTGGAAGGAGGGAGAGTACATTAAAATTATGCTCCAAGCTGGTCTTCAGGAGCATGGCTATATCGATGCGGGACCCATGTTTCAAGGCAATGGAGAAAGGAAGTCTTGGTGGCTATGATCGACTTTACCCATGATGATGTGACCATCAAGTATATGCATACATCCAAGCACGAGAAATATAAAACATGGCTAAAGAATACATCGAGTGAATGGAGGATCTACAAGATATTAAAATCCAACGAGTTTTGGAATCTAGTTCGGCCTCCAGAGATAGCACTGACTTCAAACGGACCTAGCGCCTTCATGCCAACTCCGATTTGGGTAATCTTGGACTTCATGGAAAGATTATCTCTCTACCTTTCAAACGCATCTGGTCTCATGTCCAAATTCATCTCGAGTCAACGGGAATCGCCAAAACAAGACAGTGCTGTTGCTGAAACCAAACTTGAGCCTTAGGCTTTGTAATAGACTAGGCCCATCTCGGAAGTGTCTCCCTCCACCTCCACGAATTAGCACTTAACCCTAGCTTTGTTTTCCTCTATAAATAGCTTTGTACATCCTAAAAAAACAATTGGGTTTTGTTTAGTTGAATTTTGCCAAGTGCCATTCACTTTGTCTCTAGTCCTCGCTCGATTAGTCGGCGACTATTGATTCAGAGCCCCCAATAGTTGGTGTGTTGATTTGCCGGGTCAATTAGATCTACTACTTCAATCGCAACTATTCCTTTGTGCTTAATCACCTATTCGCAATATTTAGATTGCATCTTATCTTGTTCTTGTAGTGTTCTCTCGTTTGCATTGCAGGGATCATCAACCGCGTATCACGGTTGGTACGACATCGTTTGTGGTGTAACGATTGCACGGCGTCCTGGACTTGTTCTGGTTGGTAGCCACGTCGCAAACGTCGCACTCGATCAAAGCGAGAGTTATCCCCTCACCAGAAGATCGGGCCACGAGAGAGAGCGTCATCACATGAGAGTAGTATTCATGTTTAACTTTAATGGTGATATTCCATTAATGGATAGAAGTGGTCGTATTTTTACAATATTTTTAAATGGATTTAGAAAAAAAAATGAGACATAAAACGTAAGTAGTGGATAATTTAGTGTATTAATAATGTATTAGGTTTTAGGGTTTGTTGTCGAACCGACAACTGCATCACGTCGAAATGCGTGGTTCTCTCAATAGTAGTTGGAAGTAAACACAATTGTATTACATAGTGAAAATTTTTTAATCTCCCTATTACGTGGCCTTAGGGGGCTATTTATAGCCCTATTACAGGTTCCTCCTTTAGGGTTTAGGTTTTACAGGGGAATTTACATGGTTACCCTTATGATAGGGACATTATTGGGGGCACACAGTGTCCTTTACATGTATGGGCCCCTATTAGGCTAAATAGCTCGGCCAATTTATTTGGCAAAATCCCCCGAAAGCGCAATGGCCCACTGGGCCTCCTTACGGTGGGGTTCGGTACTTGGCGAAGCCTGTGCCTTCGTGCCAAGGCTTTCACCTCACCGTCTTCGCCCATGCGGCCTTCTAACGAGGTCTTTGCCTGGCGAAGCCCGCGTGTTCCGAGCCACGGTTTTCGCCATGTGGCTTTCGCCCATATGGTTCCATTCTCGACCTTCGCTGCTTGCCTCCGGTTTGAGCCTGTCGCCTAAGTTCTTGGTTTCGGTAGATCTGGCCGAAGGCCCTTTGTGGTGTACCTCCAACAGGGTTAATTGGTTTTAAAGCATAATTTAGTGGTGACAATATGAGAATTTATATGTCACTCGATCAAAGTGTATTTTTAATCTGAGATATATTCTTATTATTTTATAACATTTAAGTAGAAATAGTGAGATGTAACTTCTTTTATCATTATTTTTATAAAACATTCAATAAGATGCCTGCGCATCTACGCGGGCTTTCTTTCTAGTTTTAGAAACATGTTAATTGAAATTAAGGTAGAATTTGTTCTTGACCAGAAGAACGGGCCCTAAATTTATCAATGCAAACTGACTTAGCAAGGCTAATAACGACAATTATCACATCATGCGTTTACATGTACGGTTGGATCCATGCCATAACAAATTTACCATATTAGAAAAATGCCACCCCTATTCGTGATATCAGTTGAGTGCCACTGGAATTTTGTAAAATTGGATCAATGTCATCGCCGTCACAGTTTCCATTTTTCACATGGACCAAAATAACCCTGAACGTGGGACCCACACATCAGTTTCATCTTCTTCCTCCATCCTCCTCTCTTCCGGAGGGCATGACGATCCTCCCGCCGCCTCTCTCCAATGGGAACGACTGCCCTCAGCGGCGGCGCGCGGGGAGAAGGCTACAACCACAGCGGTCTCCCCCCATTAGATCTAGTTGGGAAGCGAATCGGTAGCCTCGTGGGCATGAAGTCATCGGCAAGCCCAATCTCCCCAAGTACACTCTCCCATTCCGCCGGCGAGCCTAAGCTGCTCCTCGTTGATTTCATGGGCATCGCTGATGAGTAGGAACGACATCTAGTGGAAGAGCTCATTGATGACGAGGGAAGGAAATGCCATGGCCGCCTCACCCTGTCGCCGCAGCCCACGGATAGCCATGGCCCGTCATCGCCGGCATCGTCTTGCCCTCTCGCTGCATGAGGACATCCATGGCTCGCCGCCCGCCATCGCTGTCTTTCCCTCTTGCCGCCCTCACACATCCATGCCCGCCTGCTACCATCGGAGTCACCTTGCCCACGCGCTGCCTGCGGACGGCTGTGGCTTGCCACCCGTTGTTGCTGCCTTTCCCTCTCACCGCCCCCACACATCCATGCCTGGAGAGGAGAAGAGCGCCTGGCCGACGAGGAAGAAGGAGAGGAGAATAAAAGAAGAGAGAATAAGGAGAGCATGACGGAAAATATGACGACGATGGTATGGATCCAATTTTGTAAAATTTTAGTGACACCCAGCTGATATCGTGATTTGCAAATAGTAATAGTATTTTTCTAAATAGCAAATTTGCAATGATAGGATCCAATTAACCCTAATACTAGTAGTAGTAAAATAGTACTAATAATTAAATGTTCATCACTTCAGTCTTCAGTGGTAATAAATAGTCGAGCCCAGCACAGGCCTCAGGGGAAGCGAAACTATGGCGAACGCGGGGCTGCGCGCGTACCGGGAGGTGCTGCGGCTGGTGCGGCGGCTGCCGGCGGACGCGCGGCCGTACTACGCCAAGTACGCCCGCGAGAACTTCGTCAACTACCGCGACCTCTCCGCTGACGACGACCTCGCCGCCCTCCTCCGCCGCGCCTACGCCCACTCCTCCTGGGTCCTCTCCAAGGTGGGTGGTAGTACGGTACCTAACCTACAAACACGCCCGCCGCTTGAGCGGAGCGCGCGCGCTCGCTCGCCTTCCACCGCATCGGCGTGCTGGTTCACCGCTCTTTGCTGCCTTGCAGTACTCGATCGACGCGGATGCTGCGGCGGGGCGGCTCAAGGAGGTGTGCGGCGCCGAGGGCGGAGCGTGAGCACGCGTGCGCGCGAGGTGTTCGACGAAATGCTTCGCCGCGTCATGCCAGCGTCAGTTAGCTCTACCCCGTTGTTTTTACTTGCCTTGCTAGCGGTTGGCGGGCATTTGGACTTCTTGTTTTTTGCAACAGTTTAGTTGATAGTTGATAAAAATGTGTGGGGAATAAGTTGAATACTCTGCTTCTGCACACCGTATTTTAGTTTGATCCCTGCTGCCGCCTGCCTGTTTCAGTTGGTGTTGAACTCAATTTGCCGGGATTAGCAAATTGCGTGTTTAACTGTGGGATAACCAAGCAAACACACTTTGCAAATTTTGTTGGTCAAATCTAGATGTTAAATTGCCTAAGAGCTCCAAATGATTTTGAGATAGAATTACTTTTGTGAAGAGTGTGCTGTGTGAATACAAAACAAAACAAAACGAACTAAAACTACTGGCAAACCATATTTCTTGTGACTAGTGAGTGTGCACGTGCAAGGCACGTTGAAATGTAGGCGTATAGGCAATTGTCAAAGTTTCTGTTGTAGAATGTGCACAAAGGTCGACTTATAGGCATATAGGTTAGTTAAAGTTTCTGTTGTAGATCATGCACAAAGGCTATGTGAAGCATTAGGAGGAGCGCCAATTGGTGCTGCAAGTCCCTTTTGTATCTACCTCATAATCATTTGCCTCTTCAATGGCATTTTTAATGTCATCGAAAGTCCATTGCAATGATCATTATTAGCAGTTTATCTTTTTTTTTAGCAAAGGGACTGAGCCCTCCATTTCCATTAAAGAAATGATGTAGCTAATACAAAGGAGTCATCCCATTTAAGGGTTCATGTCTTCAGAAGTGAAAAAAACAGAAACACAGGTGCCAGAGCTCTTTGCTCACTACAATCATTTTGACCTGACAAAACAAAAGATCTTCTACTTGCAATAACTCCCAGAACTGAACCAGACTTTAGCTGAGGATTCCGGTCCACAAAAAAAACTCTATCTTCTGCTCTTTTTTGTCCATCCAGCTTCATGTGTTGTCCAGCCTGCACACGCTCGATCTCCATCCATATCTTGATTTAAAGACTTCACTTGTTACCTGCTTTAGGAGCTTGGCTCCCCAAAGCAACTTTCTTTGCCTTTCCTCCGAAATCTGTAAAATACCCCAATCGGAGATCCAATTACAAGCAGCAAACAAAATTTCAGAAGGATCAGATGGCAGTTTGTTATTCTATCAACTCCAATCAGCAGTAGCTGTGATGTCATTCTATCACAGTTTTTTGTTCAATTCTCCAAGGTTTGATGTAAATTTCTGATTGGTTTAAGATCAAAAGCACAACAAACCATATTCCAGGTAAATCTAGCCATAGGGCAATCAAAAATACAAATTCTGCAAAGTCTCTTTTTTTCTCACAGAATTGACATGTTTCTGTTCCTTTTTTCCATCCTCTCTTTCTCAAGTTATCTTTGGTTAAAATCCTATTTTGCATCATCAGCCACATAAAAATCCTTATCTTAAAAGGAATTTTGATTTTCCAGATTTTTTTGTGTATCCCTATTGGCCTGGGGATTGTGTCATGTGTTTTCAGAGCTTTATAAAAAGATTTAACACTAAACTCTCCATTTTTTTGTCAAAATCCATTTTAAGGTGTCTCTCCCTCCTGGTAATATTACCGTCTCACATAAGTTTTTTATATTGATCCAGTCTGCAAGTCTATCTCCTGTCAAATTTCTTCTGAAAGTAATAGACTCCCACCCTTTGTTTTTAACAGAAGTTAAGGTCACTCCATTTGCATTGGTAATTCTGTATAGATTAGGATATCTTTCAGCCAGAGATTGCTTCCCTGTCCATTTATCCTCCCAAACCAAAGTATTACAGCCATTCCCTAAGGATATTTCACAGAAATGAAGTTTTCTTTTATCTCCATCAATCCATGCCAAAAATGGGAATCTCCCTGCTTGATTTTTTGTGCTGTAAGTGGTTTCTTTTTTAGATATTTTTCTCTTAACAATTTTTGCCATAAAGCATCAGTATTCTCCAACCTCCACAGCCATTTCCCCAGAAGTGTCTTGTTCATAGTTTCCAAATCCGAAATACCCAAGCCCCCCATGTCTCTAGGTGAACACACTATTGGCCATTGCACCAGGTGATATTTTCTAATCCCCTGATCTTCCTGCCAAAGGTATCTTCTTCTAAAGTAATCAATCTTTTCTAGCGCCCCTTTTGGAATTCTATAGAAAGAAAACATATACAGAGGGGTACTGCTCAAGCTAGAGTTAATTAGAGTAACTCTTCCACCAATAGACTGAAGTTTCCCTTGCCAACACCCAACTCTCTTTTCTATTTTAGCTTCAGCTTGTTTCCAGTCCTTATTTAAGATTCTTTTTTGATCAATTTGCAGTAAAAAAATGCGAAGAGAAGGATTGCGAAGCGCTAATCGGTGCTAATCTGGCGCTAATTGCAGTGTTAATCCGACTTGTAATTTACATTGTTAGATTAGAGGATCCAACGGTTAGAAACTTCTGGGTACACTTTTCTGGGTGGATGTAGGAAAGAAACAACTGGTACTTTTTATATTAGTATAGATGACTTTAGCCATTGGTTGCTGGAGCGGACACAAAACGTAGAACGGGATTTGAGATTAGCATTCACATCAATGAAAGGGCACCATCATGGAAACCTGAAAACAAACTGAAACCTCTCATGCTTACTCGGAAATCTAAATTGATCAAACTCAAAATCAAAGTAAATTCAGGAAGACACAATGCTGTCACAATTCATCAAAGATGTGTTTCAGCAAAAAGAACCAAGCGAAAAGAGAGGAGTTGCATAGAATGCTATTTAACAGATCACACAATTTAACCAAAAAGGCTCTCCAGTGGAGATCTGTGTAGATTGAATGAACAAAAAAATCTGCATTTATTTAATTGTCAAATACAGCAGCATTTCTTGAGATGAAGTTATTGCCTCTGCTCTGCCTAGTATGAGCTGGTTACAACTTACAAGGAACTTGTTACATTTTCTATGTACCGAATGAAAATAAACTCTATATATGAGACTACACCATCTTCTACGACTACATCTAAGAATGGCATCTTCTTCATCTCCTCTGGAAGTTGAACTTCATGATTGCAAAACTGAACAGGAAAGCGAACATCACAGTGAAAACAACATGCACAACGGCAACAAGCCATAGTAAGTCATGATGGAAACCATAGTATTCCGTAATGAACTGAGCCACGGTTTGGTCTTTGCCATCAAGTTTAGTTTGGATATTTCCAAACTGGGAGGCAACCAATCCATACAATGTCCATGCAACAGGGCAAATCCAACAGTACCACCTCCACCAGACAGGAATTTTCTGAATTTGCGAGAGTTAAATGCATGAGTCACATTAGAACAATATGGTAATGAAATCTAAATGAAAACAAAACCATACGCGGCAGGAAAGTAACCTACAGGTCGAGGTATAAGATATCCTGAGAAGAGGTTCCATGCATTGTAGATTGCTGGTGAAATGATAGCTGCAATGCTCTCGTTTGGTGTCAATCCTACTGCCATCATTCCGAAGAACGTGAAATACAGCAATGTGAAGTACATGAAGAACAGGTACCAAATGAACTTAGCAACAGTCCATTCAAACCCAATCATTGAGTAGACTAGTACACCATATACCAGTGTCTGAACTAGGATGTATGGCAATTCGATCGCAACCTACAAAAGAGACAAGGAAGTGAAGTTAGGGTTGGAGCCCAAAAGAACTTATGACTTTTAAGTTTTATGAACAGTAGTGAATAGTTCTTTTCATTGAACTACAAGCTTCAGTTTGATTTCAAAGGCATTGTATTTCTTCATCCATTACTAAGATGAATTATAAAGGAAAGAATCAATTTTATGCCTCTACTCTACGGAGTAAAAATAAACTTTCACTTAACCTTCAAAATTGAATCAGAATAACCCAATATCCACCCTAAAAAAAAAGAAGAATAACCCAATATCTAATACAATGGTGGTTTCAGCCTTATTCCATCTACAAGGTCAGGTAATTCTTAACTGTTACTGCAAGAACATAATACAGGAAAATCTGTTCTATCTCCCTCTTGTTTCTCTTCAATTTGCTGACATCCAAGCAATTGGTGGTCTTGTTGGTCATCCATTGGAAGTTGGAACAACATTGCTGTTACGGAGCACTTATGTTCCGATGCTTCTAGTCTGTCCTGTGGAACTCTATGATGAGATCCTCTAGAAGATTTGAAACTTTGAGTCAACCTTTGGTTGCTTTCTTCCTTCATTCTTGATTAATTGCTGTATTTCTAATTGTTGTTTTTCATAAGATACTAAGATGTATTGCCATATCGATGTTTTAGGGAAATGGTGTATTATGGTAGCGTGTCTAGGCAACATATCATATTTTGAAAGTTCAGGTATACAACTTGGATGATTTCATAGTTCAAAGTGAAATTTGGACTCCATAAAGAGTTGAGGGATAATAAAATAGATTTATTCCAATTAGAAATCACCTGTCCAAATGCATACGGGAAACCTGAATACATGCCGGCAGCTCTTTCTCGGTAAAAGACTGTTCTCTCCACCACCACTACAGGTTGAACACAACCAGAATTTTGTATCCCAATGTAAAGAACTGCAGCATACATTGATCCCACAGCATTGAATAGATCCTGTTCTTTTTTTCTGCCATGGTATGAGTAAGGTATCATAATATATCACATGCAAAGTAGGTTCTATCAATCAGAAAGATAGGAGAATAAACTTAGAAGATGTACGTTTTCCTTCCGAGGTCCCAAAACATTGTTCCAAACAGTAGTGCAATGATGATGGTGAAGAGTAACCTCACTGCTGTGTAGGATGGATTCCTCCAATATGATAACTTGTGCTTCCACAAGCAAGCTATGCATTGTGTGAAGAACGACCTAGAGTACTGTGTAGGGAAATGGAGATCAGTAGAACCAGGAGTAGGTGTGCTTAGGTCTTGTATAAGTTCCTTGTTCCTTCTGAAATTGTGAAAAGGGGCAAATTTATTATGTTGTCACCCAATCAGGAATTACATGTTGCACTATATACTACAGTTCACTAAAACAGCATGAAAGGAGACAAACTGATATAGTTCTGATCGTTTGTAGATTTCACTGAAATCAATCCCAAGCATCTCCTCTTGTGTAGTAGAGGTTACTTCCAACATCCATGTTGCTGGATTGTAGCCATCTTTTATCTTACTAATGCCTTCAATTCCCTGAACAGATCAAATAAAAAGTATCCACCTTTATATAGTTTTGCTGGCACTAAGTTCTACAACCTGCAATGAATAATACTTTATTTTACTAATCTTCTTACCTCAAAGTACTCAATCAGTTTTGAGGAATTCTGGCCCAATGGACCAACATATATCTCTTCTCCTCCTCTTTTCATTAGGAAAAGCTGTAAGTCATACATAAATGATAACATTGTCAATATGTGAACTTATCTTAATAAATCTAAGGACCTTTATCCATATTGACAATAAAGAATTGTCCACCTCATCAAATGCTTCAAATATGTCAATACTTGGCTGGTGAATTGTGCAAACAACAGTCCTACCAGTGTCAACGGTCTTCCTTACGGTCCTCATCACAATTGCAGCGGCCCGAGCATCAAGACCAGATGTAGGCTCATCCATAAAAATGATCGAAGGGTTAGCAACAAGCTCCACAGCAACAGTTAGCCTCTTCCGTTGCTCAGTTGACAAGCCATTCACTCCAGGAAGCCCAACGAGTGCACCCCTCAGTGATGTGAGCTCTACAAGCTCCATGACCTCCTCTATGAACATCTGTTATCATAATTCAGTAAAAAAATCAGTCAAAAACCACGAATTTCAAAGCCTGCTCATTTGCCTATTTAAATTAATCAATACCTACAACCCAGCTAACCTTTCTTGTTTCTGAATCAACCTCTGAAGGAAGCCGCATCCAAGCAGAAAATACGAGTGACTCATAAACTGTTACATGTGGAGAATGAATATCATTTTGTTCACAGTATCCTGATATACGCGCAAAGGTCTCTTGTTTCTTTGGATAGCCTGAGATGGTGATGTCTCCCTCTATGTATCCTCCAGTTTTCCTCCCTGCTAATACATCCATCAGAGTAGTCTTTCCAGCACCACTCACACCCATCAGTGCGGTAAGTACTCCTGGCCTAAACGAACCACTAACACCCTTTAAAAGTAACAAGCGCTCTTCTGTTACTCCTTGTGCTGTCATTGCCTGTAAGTGTTGAACAGTACTATTGGGTAAGGCATCTTGGGTATGCAAGTATGTAGCTGTAAAAATGTTGCAATGCATAGTTCACTGAAAATTTTTACCTCAGGCATGTCCACTGAGTATTTTATGTCATTAAAACTAAGTGACAGTTGTGCAAAGGGGAGTATTCCCTGCCTGATCTGACTAGATTCTGCAGTGTTATTCCAATGCTTTTGGTTGACACTTTGGGACTGTTCCTTCTTTCTAGATTTCTTTTCCTCACAGCTATCTAGAATTTCACCAGTTTGGTTGGCACGCTTTTCCTTCAGTGCATCTTCAGGCACTGATGGGTAAGAGTCACCAAGTGCTGCGAAAAGTTAGCAAAGCAGTCACAGTGAGCATCAACTGTTAACCCACAAAATGCTGTTTTGCTAAATTCTTGGAATTATATCCATATAAAAACAGTCTCATCAATCCACTTACGTTTCAAAAATGAAAGTGCCACAGTGTAAAGGAGGTTGAACAAGAGTGTATATCCAATCAAAGCACCAAACCCAATCCAATACCACTTAGCTTCAGTAAATATGCCTCGAGATTTCAGAATGCTTATTCCGACAGTGTCATTTTGTCCAGGAAAACTCTACAACATGGGAATACAATAAGTTGATTTTTCTTTCACATTTTTCTAAGTGACTAATGCGATCTTTACTTACTTTGTTCCAACTGCGCCCTAGAAATTCGTTTGTTGAAATAGCATTCTGTGCATACGATAAGGGAGAAATCCAGTAACCCCAAATCCACCATTTCTTCACATCAGCTGGAAAGGCAAAGAAAGATTGAGATGGAAATTAGTCAGGAACAGTTAAGGGTTAGCACCGTCAATACGATTTAAGAATAAATATCATTTTAATTTTATAATTGCATATTGAGTAACTTACGTCTTGCAAGAATAAAGCCACCCAGTGCTGTGAAAGCCAACAATGATAAGGGTCCGAAGGTTTGAGACACAACCATGTCTCTACCGATGCCAGCAATAAATCGAAACAGTGAAGATGACATCTGATTAAGTGCAACAAGTAGCAGATACTGCTTAAAGAACCTGAGAAAGATATAAATTATTCAGATTTCACAGAACAAAATCAGTACTATGTGAACATTCTGCTTAATTTCTTTCTACCAGCATACAGTACAGATAAAAGAGTTATCTCTTTTATGCATTCTTAGGACATGAAAGTATGTGCTGCACTGTCTTACCTGCTCACATTGGGATCAAAGCCAACAACATAGTATGTTGTGAAAACATAAACTCCAACCTCAAAAAATGTGACGGGGATCTGAAGAATCCATGATGGTATGGTGTAGGTCCATGCAGGGAAGAATAGAAGATCCCTCTGCTTGAAGAAGACAGGAAGCTTCATGACAGTCATGCCAAGCTCCGCGAACCCATTGAACATGATTGTGTCAAGGGCAAAGTACAGAGCCCCCATATAGATCGTTCCATAAGTTGTATCATGGCGCATTTTGGTACGAAGAAACGTGGTCATTACGAGGAACGCGGTAAGAGTTAACTGTGATGATGTAAAATTCAGATTGGTGTCAGGTAATCTTCATCTCAATATTAAAAAGAAGACCAAGCCATAGGTCTGAACTTACATTGGCAGCTTTAAAGATGTACACAAACGAGTTCCTCTTCATGAGTAGAAGCTCTCTATCAATATTGGCTTTGAGCAACGCCATCCAGCTAACTCCAAACTTGGAGGTAGCAAGAGAAGCAGGGTGGCTCCTGCTCCTATCAAATGGCTCCGAAAGTTCATTCTGAATAGACTGTCCCACGTGGAAGGAACGGAATGCATCTGCGAATTGCTTCACAGGCACGAAAGAGTATGGTATGTCATTCCTATACCAATACTGTTCCTGGTCTTTCTTTGATGTCACCTGTTCAATGTATACAGAATTTCAGATAACAGTAACTTTCATCTTTGCAAATCAGAATCACTAATTGGCATGGTAACTTGTAGATAATTACACATACTTCCTGCAAGAAGTCAGCAACTCCTTTTCTTTGGGGGCATCTGAAGCCCATCAACTCGAAGAACTCGAGCACATGTTCGCGGGCACCCTGGTACACAATCTGCCCGTCTGAGAGGAGTATAATGTCATCAAATAAGTTGTATGTTTCAGGTGCCGGCTGTAGCAAGGAGATGACAGCAGTTCCACCAAGGATACGGATGGTCTGCCCAATGGAATTCACAATCTGGTATGTGGTTGAACTATCCAGTCCGGTCGATATCTCATCCATGAACAGAGCTCTTGCTGGACCAACAAGCATCTCACCTACAAAGAGAAAGTTTAAAAAGATTTCCTAACAAGACAACTACAATTATGCTAATGCGCCCAGGAAATTTTGTAAACTCATATCTATGTGATAAAGATTGAAAAATGAACCATTCTCCACTTAGCCTCCATATTTGCCTAAAACTATGAATCATACCTGTAGTCACACGCTTCCGTTGTCCACCAGATACACCCCTTAACATATCATTCCCTACCACTGTGTCTGCACAAATGTCTAATCCTAAAATCTGCAGATATGTAACAGACAAACAAACATTCAGTAAAAATTCATTTACGTAGTTCTACAATTAGTTCTATGTGTTGGCAGCCTGTACCTTCAATATGTATTCAGTGACAACGCTGGACTCTTGTCCTCCAATAGCTGAGGCCTAAAGGAGCAGGAAAAAACAACTGTTATTCTATTATGCAAATATATTACATTTGAGAAGTACGCTTGAAAGTTCTTCTGTTCATTGCGACAAAAAAAATCAAATAAATCTAAGCAACACATGACACCAGCTCACCTTCATATAGACATCAATATCTTGATCTGGCTTGATGTTCTCTGCTTTTTCCCTCCTTGACAACTCTGTAAGCATGTCTGGAAAACAACCTAGCTCAGTATCCCACCATAATATGGCCAAGAACAAGTCAATATTTTAGGTACACATACCATATCGAGATCCAACACCTTGGCACCGTGCCGAGAAGGCCAAGGTCTCCCTCACTGTCATCTCTCCAATGTGGAGATCATGCTGGCTGATGTAAGCAGCTGTCCTTTGAGGCACAAACTCATCCATCCCATGGCCATTGTAGGTAACCTTCCCAGAAACCTGCGCATTCAGCAAGTTAAACACAAAATGATTTTCTTTTTTTTTTTTGCCCCCTCATACGGAAGAACCGCAAAGCGACACGGCCATGCTACAAGATTTGAACATAATAATATATAATGGAGTGAAAATGCACATAGCTAGGTTCAATTCTGGACCTTGAGATTGTCTTCAAGCTTCCCAGCCAATGCCAGGAGCAACGTTGTCTTGCCTGACCCAGGAGGTCCTAGAAGTAATGTCATCCTGAAATTAAATCAAGACATGGGTTGATAATTAGCAGCATGACATCTCGACAAAGAAAATGTGTTAGTGTTTACGCAAATTTGTGCTATATCAGTGTCTAGCTCGTGGTTTTACCTTCGGGGCTTGATTATTCCGCTGACGTCATGGAGGACGGTCATCGGCTGCTTCCTGGTGGGGGAGATGTGGAGCGCGTTCCCGATCGCCTGCACCAAGAGAACGATTTCGAAGCAACTTAACATGGAAAATTACATATTATTACGCCTCGAAATGAAGAAGTATCGCATTATCGCATCGACGGAGCAAGAAGATTACAATTGCTTTGAGAATCCGACCATGCACGCCACATGTTCGGCGAAATGCCGCTCAAAAGCGCAGAGGCGTGGTGCTGGGAGTTGACCGCTCTCCATGGCTAGGAAGAGAGAAGGCTGAGGTGGCGCGTCGTCAGGACTCGGGAGAGGTCGTGGCGCCATCAACGTCGCCGGCGAACGTCGGAGGACGGCGTGAGGCGGTGAGAGAGAGATGGCAGGCTCAGAGCTCGGGAGAGGAGGAGGAGAGGACGGAGTGGTGAGAATTGGTGAGTTTCACCGTGGGCCTGGTTTGTTCTGATGCGTGATGTGCAAATGTGGGCTTCCTACGTACTCCTACTAACCACAACTAGCTAGCGAATATTCCCACGTAATTTTACGTGAAGCTAGATTTTGAAAATAAAATTAGCTTATGTTTTCATAAATATAAATGGGAACTGATTGTTGGTGCAGATTATCCATTTGATTATACGGATAAATTAAATATTTTAATAAATAAACTTAAAAATACTTTAAAACAAGTGGTGTAAACAATAAAAAAAGTTCTACGAGAAAATGTATTTTTTGAAGCGTGAATAAAAAATCTGTTTCATAATTTGGTAAATGACCTAAGTATGGTTAAATTGTCACTCACAATTACTTTGGTATCATGTAGAGTAATGCCACATTTTGGCTTCAATGGTATCATTTACATCGACAACTCATCTGCTCTTTAGATGGACCTCATGGATGTTGGGCGTGTATCTATTGACTTGCTCGCAACACTACAACAGCAGGGTAACACATCTAAAAAGGTTGCAGTTGTGTAGTTTATAGCCAATTGAAATAGGGCTAAGAGTGGGAGATATGGAGGAACCGGCTAGGAATGGAGGAACAATATAACTGTGGAACCGATTAGGTGATGCCCATGTATCAGTTCCTTGACTTTAAGGTTAAATCTCTAGAACTAGCTTTAGTTGGTTGTACCTGGTAGCGTTTCGCTTCCTTGTTGAAGGTATTGGCTATAGGCGCGGTTGCACCAATTGACAAAACTCTGATGCATGCTTTACAAGGTCAATGCCAATCATTTTTCTCACCTATGACGACTTCAACTAAAAGGTTAAGATGGTCGTTTTCGCAAAGAGACAACCAAACCTTCATTGATCGGAGACCCCCACGAGGGCAAGAATTGTGGTGTGCAAGGTTAATGCAGCCCGGTAAGGTCACCCAATGTATCTATGCATAGTGGTTTGATGGCATCAACTATCTTGATTTTGTTTGCGATGGCATCACAAGGATCCGGTTGCTTTTCTTGTTTCTTCAAAGTACTTGTAATTTTCCTTGTTCGTAGACCATTTTGTAATCACACAATGTAAAAGGGTTATCATATCTTCCTAGATCCTCTAGGATCCTGTTTATGAGAGCTTTAAGATTGAAGGTCCTGAGAAGCAACTGATAAAAAGCTAGTTGATGAGAATTAAAAAAAAGTTATTTAAGTTCTGACTTAGTTTATTTTTCTAGATTATATAACTAATTAACTATAGCTTCTCGGAAGCTGAGTGAAATTATAAACTGTTTAGAGTAGCTGTAGAGCTAGAAGAAGCTCCTAAAAAACCTAAGGTCTGGTAGGAGCATTGCCGTCTTAAAAAATTAGAGCACTACTGGCTGACTGTATATTGTATTACCTGCACTGTGTTGATGATGGAGTTGAGGAGCGTGGGCAGGCCCCTGTTGCCAACGTGCACCTCTGCCTCCACCTCTAGTTTTTCAAACCGTACCTCAATAGTTGGATAATCTATCCCCACTCTGCAAGTACAGGTACAATAATAATTAGTAGGTGATCCATAACATTGCCAGTTGGGCCAATCTGCAGAGGTTTGAGGTGAGAAGGGAGAGTAAGAAGAGAGAACATCAATGTGTATATTTTAGTACTGTTGTGTAATATATTTTTTAGATAATTGACTCTTCAGGACACATGACATGGGCAAATTAGGAGATCGAATCGAGTTCAAGTGTTGTCATATTTTAAATGAGTTTTGTTTAAGTACAATTAAATGAACCGCAGTCTATGTAAGCTAATCTCTATTTTAGTTGCATGACTAAGAGCAAGTTAATATACTCCCTCCGTTTCAAAATGTTTGACACCGTTGACTTTTTATTATGTGTTTGACCATTCGTCTTATTCAAAAAATTTAAGTAATTATTTATTATTTTCATATCATTTGATTCATTGTTAAATATACTTTCATGTACACATATAGTTTTACATATTTCACAAATTATTTTGAATAAGACGAACGGTCAAACATGTGCTAAAAAGTCAACGGTGTCAAACATTTTGAAACGGAGGGAGTATATATCTACGTACTACTTCTAATTTTGTCCATATCTCTTCAGGAGTAATAACCAATTACTCTCTCCGGTTTCATAATTCCAGACATTTTAATATCATTAAAATCAAAATTTTATAACTTCGATCGACTATATGATATGATATGTGTCTTAACAATATATTACCAGATATATTACACTAACCTAATGCTGTACACTAATTTTATTTTACTAACTAGTTTCCTCTTGCTGACATCCTGTCTCTTTCTAGTTTTAATGAGCTCGTGTTTTCAGTTTCTCTTGTATAAGAGGCAGCTCGATTGTCCTCTATCCTATCCACATCATTATCGAAACCTACATGGTACTCTCAGAGTTTAACATCAATATATACTTGCTGTAAGCATAAAGCATGACGAGTTCTGTATGGTCAAGTTTCACCCATGGGAACCACTTGTCTCATGCAGCCAAGGTTAATTCGGTGTGTACTCAAAGGATATAAAAAGTATATACTACTATATATGTTTACAATATCAATAACCAATGTGTGCATGCAAGCAACAGGTAAGCTAAGTGAACCAGAGGTACGGTGTAGTATCCAGGTTATCAAGCGATCAAATCTAGCTTAGAGATCGTTTTATTGTTTCATTTTTGCAAAATAATTAACAATATATGCATGATGCATATTCTCTACGTGTATATAACTATATACACTACTTAAAAATGGATTTTTCTATAAAGGGTCCCCATAGAATGCAGAAGGATCGTAATCGATCACGGCCTCTTAACAAGTCCATACAAAAATAAGACTATTTTCGTAGACAAACCTCTTAAGCGTCCGCATACGAAAATTAATTTTCGTAGATGGTCCTTTAAGACCCGCCAATAAGTCTAGCTGTTTTCCTCTCACCATCTTGAAAAATATTGTCAACTCATCATTATCTTTTCTCACTTCCTCTCCTCTCATTTCTCACCTCCTCTCTTTCCCTCACCTCCCCTCCCAAGCGGCTGGCGGGAATGGCCGGCGGCGGCTGCCCTCTCCCACGAATTTTAGTTTTTTGGTCAAAACTATTTTCGCATGCATTTGGTTTAGATGACCGTCCGTTTTCACATGCAATATACCCATATGAAAAAATGATGATTTTCACAGACACCTGATTACAGACGGACGAGAGGCCCGCATGCAAAAATCTGCTGTGGCCGTTTGGAAAAATCCAGCAGTGATATTTACCTGTCCATGCGGTCCTTGAGCTTGAGCAGGAAGAGGGCGTGGTCGTCGTCGGCGGCGCGGATGAGGCGGGCGATGAGCGCGCGGCTCTCGCGGGCGCCCATCCTGCCGACGTCCACCTCCACCTTCTCGCCGTTCCCCTCCGCCGCCTGCAGCAGGATGCCCCGCCGCACCCGGTCCCGCGTCGGCAGCCGCTCCAGCGCCGCCCACCGCAGCGCCTCCTCGTCGTCCTCCTCATCCCTGAACCTCGACGACGACGCCCCCGTCGACGACCGCGAGAAATACACGCCGTCGTCGCCCCGCCTCCACAGCGAGCTCTCCCGCCTCAGGCTCGCGATCTTGTGGATCTCTCTCGCCATATTAATTGTTGGCCTGATTATTACTATACCTCGTACTAAGTAAGGTAGTACTACTAAGCTAGCAAAAACGTATAATAATCTCTCTCTCAGAAAAGGACTCTCTCACACTCTGCTTAATTACTTGCTTGCATATGTATATAGGATTTCCTCCTCAATTCGTGGGTTTCGTCGACCGGGAGCAAACTGTGTGTGTTGCAGAATATAGCGATAGAGAATTACGTGTGAGGTCGACGGTAGGTGAGGACTAAGTAATTGTCACTTGCGTGCCCTGGAGACATTGACATTATATGGTCGTAAAGATAAATTTTACTTCTAATTGTCGTATAGTTAACCATGTCATCAATGCAAAATGTGTCGCGCGCCTGTGCATTCGGCCTATGCATGCATGCTTGGGCCTGACAAGTTTCTTTGACATGCACTTGACTCCGTCCATTCTTCTCAGCTTAGTATTTTTGTTCTGATCCGAAGCTTCCACGAGGTGCAATGTGAAAATTTTGTACCCCATGACATCGTCAACGATACGAAAGGACATGTAGCCTAGTGGTTACAGTGACTTGGGTAGTACCCCAAGATTCTGAGTTCAAATCTTCATAGGAGCAAATTTCAAATTGGATTGTTTGCGAGACTAAGTTCCCTATTTCGATGGCTGTATATATACGGTTGGATGTATATATAGGTCGGGTAAAAAAATACTCTCCCCTTAAAAAATTTGACATCGTCGACAGTTAGTACAGGATTAGAAACAGACTTAGTAGAACATGCATGTACCAAATCACACCATGATATATGGTCGCAGTTGATATCGATACATTTTAATTTGAAGTTACCTCTTACCTACCAAGTCAGGTAAGAACGGATCAGGGCATTATTTCCATATGTTTTCTCATTTGGAATTATGTATGGTCGTACCTTAGACATGATCTACGACTAAACAAGCATGTGTGTTGCATGTGCCCTATATAGTAGTTTCAAGGAAGAATAGCCAAAGCTATGTTTGTTGAACTGTGATCCGAAATCGATTAATTTAATTAGATGCTCCAAGAATTGTTGAAGAGGAGCAAGAGGCAGCAGAGTCGCCCCAGCAGCCGGTGAGGGCATATATTAACGGCGTGGTCGAGATGTTTATTTCTCCTATAAAGAAAATAATTTTGATGAAATTTACCAAAACATAACGTACCTAACAATTCAGAAACGGCACGCTCTCGAAAGGAGAAAATAGTCAGGGAAAAGAAAAAGAAAAAGAGAGGATATTATTGTCTGTTGCAACGAGTGATCTTAATCAAAATACTGCATTATGTTGGCAATTAGTCTATTACACGTGCGGGCGTGCAATACAATTTGAAGCTAGCCCAACCCTACATATTTTGATGAGACTTGATGCTAGCTCTTTGCCTGACCACACACTATTGACCAAATTCGCATTCTTTGACCTCGATCAGTCCCGTAGCCGAGCCGGCGTTTCTCTGCCAACGACGGCCGCGGTCGGGCACTTACCCTAGCTAGCTTCTCGGCCGCCGCGTGCGCGCCGTCAATCGATAGATCGTGGCTGTTGTGACCAATTGATCCTTGCTCCTCTAGGTGCCGATAACCCATAATTAACTTCGCGCAACGAACCACATAGCGTACCTCGGTCGCCTGCAGTCCGATCTGAGCCATATTGATTCGGTGATTCCTACTCTCTCCGTCTCAAAATAACTTTATTTTTAAGCATCTGGCTTGTCATCCTAAAATAACTTTATGTTTCAAGCAATTACATTAGAGTTCGTGAAAGTAGAAGATAAATGCTTTCGAATTAGATAAAGAAGAGATATTTTTATTGCAACTCGATAAAATATAGGGCGTTTTATTTTATTTTGTCTTCGTATTATTATATATGAAATGGGTTAAAAATAAAGTTATTTTAAATTGGAGATAGTGCTTCCCGTTTCATCCTTTAGCTGTCAGTGCCAACCTTTTGCTCCACATCGCTGCTGTTCGCCAGGCCAAATATATGCCGCCAGTTGTTTTCATGTGTGACCAAAGTCCATCAACCCAAGCACGTGAACTCATGCCTGTTTAACAGTGCTGACGAATAATTGATAGCCTATGTTTATGACAAGTATTAGAGGACACAAGTAAACAAATTAAATAAAAACGTTTATGAGTTAATTATTTTGATTTTTTAAAGAGATGCTGATGAGGAAGTTTTCCGTAAAACTCATACCTATTTGTAAGCTTGGGAAATTAACATGCTCACAATAATATGATGGCCCTAGCTAACAAGAAATGAATGAGATCTCGGTTCACACACTCCTACTATATCCCACTTTCATAATCTTGGTCCACAAAGGACTGGTCTCAGACTACGGGCTTCACCTTCCACGATCAACCGCTTGAACCCACCCCTCTCTCAACAAGTTCACGTACATAGTCCACAAACACCCAGTGTCAACCTGGCTACCTCCTTCGGTCCGTAGCCCATAATACACACACAGAAAATATGTCCACCAAACCTGTCTCTCTATAGTTACGTGGTGACTCAGATCAGATCACCAAGAGCCATAGACTAATTCATAAACTCTCTCTCGATGATGATTTGATTCTTTTACCACAACTTTTAGTTGTACATCCAATTTATAATCGGTTTCAACCATTTTATTAATTAAATGAACAATTAAAGACACGTATTGAGTAGCAAATTAACATATATAAGTTGAATTGTTTTCAAATATAAATA